CCTTAGCGATCAACACAGACTTTGAGCTGTGTTTGAGGCTTTTTAGTCAGATGGATACTCATACTCAGCAGGAAGCTCTCTTCTGCCTGTCCTAGAGTTCCAGTCTGTGTGGCAGCAGAGGCCTCTCTATACCTCCTCCTCCTCAAATCTGAACCTGTGCTCCATCAGAAAATTGACTAAATGAACTTATAAGGTACTGCATGCCAATAAAAATATGTCATTACTATACTATAAATGTTGCCATTTGATATATATGTCAAAAGTTGTAGGTAATCCTTTTCAGAAACATGTGGAGTAGTGTTTGGTTTATTTTGTACGTGTTTGAGAAGCCTAATCTGTGATATCCCTCTTCATTTTCATCCTCCAGACTTTTGCTCACTGTTGATTTGTGGCTGCCCGGACACCTTTACCAGACTCATTCTCAGCATTTCAGAACTCAAATCATCTCCACTTTGCAGCTTCACAATGTTTTCTTTTCCATTCACTCAGCAGTGCACCGGCAGATGGAGTTCCTGCGCCCCCTGCTGGTGGTATGTATCTCAAGAAAGGCAATAACTAACACACATTCAGAAGTACTTCTATAATCTTAAATGTTTAATATGGAGAGTTAAGATAAGCGTTGATTGACCTATAATTACATTTAGAACACCAAAATATAGAAAAAAAAATGCATTTGAATAAAAATAGTAAACGTTACATCATAGGTGATAACAAAAAGAAAGGAAATATGATGCAACTGCACAGAGCAAATGTCAACATTATGACATGTTACTGAATTTTTATGATGAATGTTTAGAGTTAATTTTGAAGGATTTGTGTAGTTGTTTATGTGTGTTTCTTTGAATGACCTCTTTGTACAGAAACACCCAAGACGCCCAGTGGTGGATTAATATGTGCACACACAGTCACACACAAACAAAAGTAAACTGTTCGAGATACTTTACCATATATTCTGCATGCAACACATTCTTCGTCAGTTACGCTGATGCCACACATCTAACAATGATGGATAGTTTATTTACTGAGCTCAAGGAACTTGTGGAGAGAATGAAAAATCCCACTCTGCTGGTGACGCAGCAGTGTTTGTCAGTGTCTGTTTGTGCCACCACTTTCCAAATTAAAATGTACTTTCAGAGATAATGTATGTATACATATAGGAGACAATTTATGTGTTTTCATACTTTTGCATAGCCTTCAATTGGTACATAATGTAATTGTATAAAAATGTATTTCATTTGAAACTTTCCACTAGTCAATCCCAAATAAAAAATAAATAAAGGATTTGTAAACTTCATTAATTCATCCCCTATAGTCTGTAACTAAATATGAATCCAAATAATCCTTTATGGACAGAAATCTAAAACAAAAACACTCACGCATTTAGTTTGGACAAATATTATGAGGATTTTGACCACAGCTGCACGAGGCGAGATAAAGGCAGAACAAAGACATGGGGCCAGAGGAAGACTACAACAGTCCAGACTCCAGCAGATGCTACGGCAGAAGGTACGCACTGAGAACAGGCCTGGGTGAGACAGGACACTGCTCATGTGCAGAGCTGGGAGCCTCAGCAGGCAGCAGGATTTAATTGGGTCCTTTCAGTTTACCACTGAGTTGACAGCTCAGAGCAATTACACACAGACAGCACTGCACTGCGCTGAGGAGAGCCTGATTTCACACAGCCACACCTGAGGACCACTTGTCATCTGTAACCTCTACATTAGGGGGGAGCTTGTTTGGCTGATAAACACTTCTTGTTTTCATGGCAAAGAGGAGCTTGTTACTGCCACACCGCATACTCGGAAACATGCTCACACTCACACAGCCACAGAGGGAGCTATGACATTATTGCTCTAACTTACATCATCATTTGTGCTCAGAAGGTAAATGTTTTCTATTTAGAGAATCTTTAGGCCTCCAGTGAGCTTTTCAAAGGTTTATGTGGAAGACACAACCACACGACCAGGGATGTATGTCAACTCTTCACCCCCTGCATTGTGTTTCACAGCTGCACCCATAACCTGGCCCTGTACATTTACAGTTTTCCTACCAGAAAAAAGACACATCTGTTCGGAATGCCTCTTGGACACCTCCCTGGAGAGGTGTTCCAGGCATGTCCCACTGGGACGAGGCCCCGGGAAAGACCCTGGACACAATGGCATGAGAACACCTTGGGGTCCCACCAGAAGAGCTGGAAGAAGTGTCTGGGGTGAGGGAGATCTGGGACTCCCTGCTTAGACTGCTGCCCCCTCATCTTTCCCCACGAGCACCAAACAAGCACCATGGTATTTGGTCACTAGGGCGATCAAGGTGTACAAGGCGATACCACAGATACACTGTTGATTTTGACTCATTGGCCTTTCTCTGATAGATTATAGCCTGCATGTACTGTATATGTCTTGGTGCAGAACAGATGCAAAGTGCTGTATTGTTTTGCATGATCATAAATATATTTCTATCATCCTCTAACTACCTCCCTCTTCCTCTACCCTCTCTGCTGTCATGCTGCTTCCATCTGTTTTCATTGTCTTTGTTTTAGTCTTTCCCGCCCTTTGTGTTTCAGAGAAAGGTGCTGATGTCTCTGGAGTATTGTCCCAACATACTTTGATCAAATTCTGACCTGTTCTGTTCATGTTTCTACTGGACCACTGTGTGTAGACCTACTGAGCATGAGCACTGAGCAAAAGTATAACAAAACCATGGTATTTTCACTTCCAGATGGAGCAAGGCCTGAAGCTGGTATGTCTCACTTATAAATAAACAAATGCACATCCCAATAGCATCTTCAGTGCAGATGCCAAATTTTCATGCTTTTCTAATTACTTGGTTTGGTGGGATTGCACCTGTGGTAAATATTTAGGTAAATGTTGGGAGCAAAATTACAAGAGACATTTTTTCTGATATAAACATTGACAAAATAAAGGCACTGTCATTTATTTGCAGTCCTGTCAACAGAAATGTTGGAGATCAGGGCAAGAAGACTCACATGGGCCCCCTTCTAATAAAAATTAACAGGAAGAGGGGTCAGTTCTGGGCCCCTAAAACACAGGGGCTCGCGACAACAGACCCAAATATTGGCCCTTGTTAACATAATATATATGTGACTACATCATATTTGCTGTTCATGTAGAAACAGGAAGTAGCCTCCATTAAACTTTTAGTAAACTATACATAAATATAGCCTAATTATGTTAACTATGTTTTACTGAAATTAGTAGTTTAACCTTTCATATGTGCTTTAAGCACTATATGGCTGGTCAAACCAACAACGCTGAGGTCATTCATAATTTAGGCTAATGTTGGGAGGTTTATCCAGGGCATTCAAAAATTACTCCATTTATTACAGACAGGTCTAGACAGTTACCTCGCTAAATGTCAACTGCAGTTACTAAAATAGACAGGCCAGACAAAAACAATTAATGGGGCACCAATATTATTACAGTCAGACGAGCTCTAATTCTATGATTCTACTTAAGCCAAACTACTAGGTGGAATTGGATATAAGTGCCTATGACAGAATGGACTACTCACTTTGCTCACAGTGTAAATATGATTACATTTTTGATTTTGCTTTAAAAATACTAAAAATGAATAATTAAAATAATAATAATAAAATAAATACATTATTTAATTCCCAGTTTGGCCAGATTTTTAGGTTTAAAGTGCAAGTTCAGGCACCAGCCAATCAGCAAAGAGCCATATCTTCTGTGTTGGCAACGATTCCAAAGGTTGAGGATTTAAAGCAGGAACAAAGAGGAGAAAGACTTTATTGCCCTTCTTCCTATACGGGATTTGGGAAAAGCTTTATGTACCATTTAGCCCATTAGCAGCGCATTACATACGTCACGACCAAATAGCAGTGACTGGTTAAATGAAAAAAAGTACCCACCTACCGTTAAGAAAAGGAATTCTTATGCTGCGAGGTCAGACAGTTTCCACGAAGTGAAACCCACTAATGAATCAGGCTAGTTACCAATATGGACCTCTCTTAAATGTTACTCTATACTTCCCCTAATTTTCAACATATTTTTTGTTATCTTTTCTTCACAAATTGCTTCTTGATTTGTTTAAAACTATCATTATGTCTATGACTGGTTTTATGGTCACACACTTTAAACTGGAACCTGTGTATTCTGCATTGTTAACTCTGGAACTTGTAAATGCTGTTGTATATGCCTGCCTGGCTGTGTGTGAGACTGTGGAACACTTACCCTCAAACACACCAGGAGCAGGTCTTAGCTCTGACCAAATGAAGCCATCTGAAATGCAATTCCCCCAGCCCCATCACTGCGCTGCGCGGCCAAACTGAGCGCCCCTTTCTCATTACCAAGACAGATACACAGGCGTGAATGGAGTTAGGACAGAGGGAAAGAAGAAGGAAAGGACACAGGGATAATGGAGGTGAACGCAAGGGTTCCCGAATGACTGTTTGCCTCCCTGGCAGGAGATAAGACAGAATGGATAGCTGCAAAAAATTTAAATCGGGTGAAGTAAAACGACATGCTGTGCACTATGAAATCAACCACTTCATTAGATTAAGAACACTCAGGTCACATTAGCAGAATCACTTGGTTGCAGATAAAAAGATGCAGGAGACCTTCTTATAATAATACTATAGTTTTCTTTACTCAGCTCTTCACATCTTTTGACTTTGCGCAGTCAGAGGAGCAAAATTATGGTACAATGAAGGGTAAAATAATAGTGGGTCCTGAACTGTAATAGCTCTCTAACAGACTGTGTACATTTTGTCCATGGCCTTGCAGACATTTTAAATTTTAAATGGCTTTAAATCTGTATTAGCTGTGCTGTCATCCAAACTGGAATCGAAAGTATTACTCAATATTACTGGTGAAGCAAGTCATGGCTTATGCATATATTCAACCATGCAGTTTGGTACGTTTTGATTCCAAGATTTTCCACTAGGGGCACCCACTTTTTTTTTTTTTTTTTTTTTTCCATGAACAGTAGAAGAAGTACTCGTATGACGTCATCCTGAGGCGGAGCGTCCAAGCGCGGGAAACTGGGGACCTCCTCCTCCTCCTGAGGCAAGTGAAGAACAAAACAAGAACAAAAATTGGATAATTTCGGCACGTATAACAATTTACAAGCACTTCAAACGGTGAGATTTCATCATAACTTCTGTCTAAACCGAATGACAGCCAGACCAGGGATTACAGAGCTTAGCTTTCTTCGTCTAGACTGAATAACAGTCTGGCCTATGCCTGTAGAGTCCGGCTGCAGACCTCTTTTCCGCATGATCCTACAACACAAGCGACCTCATAATTTTGTCACATTTTGGATACGCTGGCGAGACCCAGGAGAACATGGACTCTTAAGTAGAGACTGTATACAGTGTGGAAAAGAGGTCTGCAGCCAGACTCTACTCACAGACTGTATATAGAATGTTTCTAAACAGTCCATGAGCCCACAGCATCTGAACTCATCTCATCCTGGGGAAATTTACCTGTTTAACTGTGTTTGTGGACTATGGATACAGAATGGTGGAAATATTTCCCCTGAAGTTGTGAGGAGGCGTTTCAGTCTATGTTAACTTTCCCATTGTGCCACTAGATGGGGCACCAGGCTTGCTTTTAATTATTTTTCTAAATACCACATTATACTTCTGTTTCATTTCTGAATTAGTTCAGTTCTTTCTTCATAATACTAAGTGTGCAGTAGGAATCATGCTATTACTACTGTATCATTAAGCAGTATATATCATGTTGATATTTCTAGCCTAAAAGTTGATATGGTGACATCAGAGTCATCATTCACAAGTATAATTACAACAGCATGGAGTATTACTATTCTTCAGACTCTACACAGTAAAAGCATGAGTGAAGGGGAGCCCAAGAGGGACAACTGGAGAGGACGAGGTAACGGCTGGAGAGGTGGGGGCAACGGCTGGAGAGGTGGGGGCAACGGCTGGAGAGGTGGGGCAGCGGCTGGAGAGGTGGGGCAGCGGCTGGAGAGGTGGGGGGAACAGCTGGAGAGGGTCAACAGATCCTAAATGGCCTTCATCCTCAAGCAGTGGAAGAGGTCGGTAATATTTATTCATAAAGTAATAAAGTATAAACTTTTATTTTATTATCATCGTCCTCTGCTTAATTTTTTTTACATTCAGTTCCCACAAACGACAAGCTTATTTTCCTCAGAGTTATGAACTTGTGTGTTGCTCTATTAATGTGACATTGATGTTCACAGCTGTTTGGACCCAGACCACATTAGACATTAGGTGCCCATACAAAGGATGGGCCTTGTACTTCACTGAAGGTTTTTATTTTTATTTTTGTAATTTTACTCACTTTAAATCAAAATAAATATGATGTGCAGTAATAGACTTAGAGCTTTTAATTTGTGTAGGTTTCACAGAGAGCTCACCCAACGTAGGGAGAATCAAAGTGTTTGAGAAGTACTTCACCTCGAAGATTCACCTGTTTGATAAGGTCAGTGGTTTTCTGTATGAGTTTTATGTTTCTGTATATGCTTTGTGTAACAGTTGTGGTGCTACTGGGTAATACGATGATTTGAATGGTAAATGGTCACATTTTTATATAGCACTTTTCCACCTTCAAGGCATTCAAAGCATTTTACATTCATCCATTCATACACCATTCATACACCATTCATACACCATTCATACACCATTCATACACCATTCATACACCATTCATACACCATTCATACTCCATTCATACTCCAGTGTATGCAGACACTGGAGGGTGAGGTAGGTTAAGTGTCTTGCTCAAGGACGCGATCACAGCATTCATCTGGAATCACACCAGCCAACCTGTGGGTCAGTGGATTTGACCACTCAACCAATGCAATGATGTTTATGTCAAGAGTGGGACCTTCAGATCAGTGGGCAAACGCTCTACCAACTGAGCTACTGTCGCTAGGGTGACCAGACCTCCCAAAATCTAAGCTGTTGTCCCAAATCCCAAATTCGGCCCTAAATGTTCAGAAAATTACACTCAAACAGAATACTGAGTAGTTGTTTTCTGATAAACATTCAAAACTGTTGGTAGAGAAGTTGACTGCTGCCTAGAGGCTGCACGCAGCTCCTGATGACTTCTAGACGTTCTGTTCGCAACACGTACATTCGCCTCGGTTGCCTCCTATGGCATAACAGGGAAGAGCATCTGACTCAAGGCGCGGGCAAGCAGCACACAACATGTCGCCATGTTTGGAGCTGAGTGGAGAGCAGTGGGGAGACAGTGAGGTGGAGTACCAACGACGTGCGGTCGGGGGAGGCAGATGAGGCAGTCCCACAACCTACTACATCATGTAGTTTAGCTCTCTGTTATGCTTCTTGTCTTTAGTGCGGACGCTCCGGGTTCAAGACTCAGATTTTTTGTATACATTTTATTCTGTTCTTTCTTCAGTTTTGTGTCTACATCAACAATTCTGAGCCTACACTTTGCCCCCCCCCACCAAGGCCGTGCTGGGCTTCCAGCATAAACATATTTTGTGTGATAAATAATCAAGTAAAAAATAATAATGCTAATACACAATATAAAAATATGACCCTGTACAGGATGAGATCGAACGTCAGGGCAGCATACTTGTGGACTATATGGAACTTATCAGTGACCAGATGGTTACCAAAGAACTTCCAGTTTTAACCAAAGAACTGAAGGAACAACCAGAGATGATCCTCAGCTGTCTGGGAGTTGCCATTCACCAGGTAAGCTTAGGTAAAGGACCAATGCCCTTACTTAATCATGACAGACAGGAAAGAAGAACATGTGGTAGAAAATGCAATCCAAAATTGCTGTAAGCTGATTTCCATAACCTCATCCATGGCTCCATTTGTCTGTAAGGTGTTGACCACAGACTTGGAGCGTCAGGCGGCCGAGCTCCAGGGAGAAGAGCTGCCTGTCGCCACACCGCTCATCAACATCCCTCACATCAGTGCCAGGTAACTGCAGTTTGTTTCTCATCCTGGTCCTTTTGCACACAAGAGAGATGAAAAGAAAATGATGTGGGATGACTTGGAAATGCATAGAAGTGCGTACATTCTTAATGAGTAAAAGTTTGCTCCGCTTTGAACTTGTAGAATACACTCACAACAGCGTATTTACATATATGCCTCCTATGTTTGTTTTCTTAATTATTAATTTGCTGATGTACCACTCTGTCTTGATATTGATATCACAAACAAATATTAATTTCAATTCTGATTAAAATCTTCATGATTTTTTTTTTTTTTTGCATGATGTAGTGGTATCTCCATTAGATAGTTTATATAGAAGATAAAATAAGATAACCCGATATTGTCTCCCGTGGGAGAAATTTGTCTTGGGACACGGGTTCACATGCTTTAACACAAAGACGAGATAACACAGCAGCAACATAAGCTCAAACAGGCATCCACCATAGAACATAAATAAATAAGAGACCAAGTATGTGAAATGTACTTTAGATTGTGCCTGACTCTTGCCCTGTGTTTGGTCAGGCTGTATAACTATGAGCCGCTGACCCCGCTGAGGCTGCTGAGGGCCAGTGTGTTTGGTCGTCTTGTGGGTGTGCGGGGGACTGTGGTCAGAGTCAGTAACATTCGGCCGCTCTGTGCACGCCTGGCCTTTCGCTGCCTGGGCTGCTCTCACACCCAGGCCGTGACCCTCCAGCATGGTCATTACAGCATACCCACAAAGGTACGCATCAGTTCCTCTTCCCTGTGTGTTAGTCTATGTTTCAGTTTGTGTATTTGTCTGGTGTGTCTGATGTGTTTTTGTTATTGTTATGTTATAGTGTGCACTCCCAGACTGCCGCAGCCGGACATTGGTCCCATGCCGGAGTTCCCCTCTCACTCAGACTGTGGACTGGCAGATTATCAAGTGAGTGTTAGAATGGTTTAACCCTATGTTTCAAACTGTGGTATGCAAGCTTCTTCTTGTAAAACCATACTTCGGCACATTCTCAATGGAGATAGATATGTTTTATACCATGCTGTGGAATAATAAAGCCAAAGGAACAATATTTCCATGGAAACAACTAGGAGAAGAGCGCTTTTTTGTCTATTTTTTAGCTAAAAAGTTACATATTGTGGTCTTAACTATGATTCATTTCTTGATAAGAACTTGGCCCTGGTATAGTACTATTTAAATCCGGTTACACTTAAGACTGCCAAATCTCTTAGTTGGTCATTGGTGTCTCCTTCATTGAACAGAATGTTTATTTAATTCACCATCTGAATTTTTTTGTGTGACACTAGTAAATTGACTTTTAAAAACTTTTGACTGACCTTGACTACTACAAAAATAAGTCTTAAAACTTAAATTTCATCTTATTAACTGATCATTATCACATCAATAAATATATATATATATATATATATATATATATATATATATATATATATATATATATATATATATATATATATATATACATTATTCATTATCACAGGGAAGAGGTCAATAAGGAACATTGTAAAAACTCACTAATGTAACTAATAGACAACAGATGTAATTGGTTTGCATTTTGTCACCAGAGTTCAGGAGTTGATGGGTGGAGAGCAGCGGGAGGCAGGCCGTATTCCCCGTACAGTGGAGTGTCATCTGACCTCTGACCTCTGTGACAGCTGCGTCCCTGGAGACACAGTCACAGTGACGGGTATTGTGCGAGTGACCAAAGAAGGTAATTGGATGATTAACAGGCCTGCTTGTCAAATCATTGAGGGGAGTGTATTTGTGTGATGAAAAAAACCCACAATAATTTTTGGATTAAACTTGAAATGCATGGTATGTTTAGGATTTCACAGAGGAAACAAAGACCAGTGCATGTTCCTGCTCTACATTGAGGCCACCTCTGTCAGTAACACTAAAGGTGGGTTGTTAAGATGTGCATTTTTGTTGAAATTATAAAAGTGCCAGGGTAAAATGTGAATGTTTTTGTGTAGGACTTCAGTCAAAAGTAGGATGTCAGGGGTCAGCAGAGGCTCACTCAGCAGAGGAGTTCAGTTTGAAGGAGCTCTATGCCATTCAGGAGATCCAGTCACAACCAGACCTGCTCAGACTAATGGTCCAGTAAGGCACCATTCTTACTTCATAATTTCCATAATTACATAAACGAAGAGGAGTGCAAATGCAGATTGAAAAAAATGTATGTGCATATATATATATATATATTTTATATATAGATTATATATATATATATATAGATAGATAGATAGATAGATAGATAGATAGATAGATGGATTGAGATCGATAGATATAATATATAAAATTCATATATACATGAGGCTGTGCCTTATTTGTGAAAAGATTTTGTATTTGTATGTGCATATACAGCATCTGGTCTGTGATCACACTTCTTCCACCTGTACACTCTCACCCCTCCTTCTGTACTTGTGTTACAGCTCCCTGTGTCCAGTCATTTATGGCCATTTGGTATGTCATCAGAATTTCTTGAATATCAAAATTTACCTGGTTACATAACTAATGTATTTATAGCTTGTGAAAGCTGCACTTGTACTGGCTCTGTTTGGAGGCAGACAGAAAAACACAAATAAAAACAGTGTCCCAGTCCGAGGAGACCCTCACTTGCTGATGGTAGGCGACCCAGGCCTTGGCAAGAGTCAGATGTTACAGGTAGTTCACCATTTCCAAAAGCCCTTTCATAAAATTTGTCAACCCACATTATTAATTTGTCATCTGTGCAGGCAGTGTGTAATGTGGCACCAAGGGGCATTTACGTCTGTGGCAACAGCACCAGCAGTACAGGTAACAGTCATATTTAAACCAAGCCGCACTGTCAATTATCCAGTCACATGTACAGTTACAAAATATAACCCAGGACCATCTGTATTTGTTTAGGTCTGACGGTCACATTATCTCGGGATGCTGCTACAGGAGACTATGCTCTGGAAGCTGGAGCTCTGGTGCTGGCAGATCAAGGTAGATGGTAAACCTTTGATGGAATACCAGCAAACTCAGTCAGTCGTTATGAAGACAATAAGTTTATTCAGCTGTTGTGAAAATTATTTTGTAACTTTAAAATTTAAATATAGTTGTGTTAGTTAAGGCAGATATTTGTATTACAATATCAAAACTCCCCATGTGTTTTTTCTTACATGTTTTAGGCATCTGTTGCATTGACGAGTTTGATAAGTTGGGGAACCAGCAGCAGGCTTTGTTGGAGGCCATGGAGCAACAGTCAGTGAGTCTAGCCAAAGCTGGAATTGTGTCCTCTTTACCAGCTCGTACCTCTGTGGTAGCTGCTGCAAATCCTATCGGAGGTCATTACAACCGTGGAAAAACAGTTTCAGAAAATCTCAAGTTAGTTAATAAAGTGCTATAAATATTAATATTAAGTAAAGCATCCATGTAAGACTTCTTACATTTTATTTACATATGTTTAGAATGGGTTCGGCACTGCTCTCACGTTTTGATGTGGTCTTTCTTCTGCTGGACATCCCAGATGAGTCACATGATCGGCGCGTGTCTGAGCATGTGATGGCCAACAGGGCAGGAAAGGGGAGAATGAGCAGTGCAGTTGTCAGTAGAGACAACAGCCAACTGGAAAGCTCAATTCTGCTCCAGCACTCAGATCTTCCGCTGTCTGAACGACTGCAGGTGGGATCACTGAACTCAAAAGGAAGTGCTTTTGGAACGCCACATTAAACTGCAGTTGGGACACTAAAACATGCAAAGGCAAAGTTCACACATACTCTTATTCTGCTTCTCTTATAGACCAGATTTTTTACTTGTCAGGTTTCAGTGGGGGAGACTGTGGACCCCATTCCTGCCTGCCTGCTCCGGAAGTACATAAGTTACGCCCGTCAGTATGTGCAGCCATCTCTGTCCTCAGAAGCAGCAGAGACCCTGCAGACCTTCTACCTTTCTCTGAGAGCTCAGGGCCAGTCTGCGGACGCCACCCCCATCACCACCAGGCAGCTGGAGTCCCTCATTCGGCTCACTGAGGTACTAGAAGGACAGAGATGCCCAACATGAATGTTTCCGATAAGCACCTTTACAGTTTGTCATATCAAAGTTTGAATGTGATTTGATGTGCTTATGTATAAATGTGTATACATTGGTAGATTTTAACCCCTTTGGTCCCCCTTTTAACTTCACATACATTGATCATTTTGTGTTTCTTGTGTAGGCCAGGGCTAGACTGGAGCTGAGAGAAATTGCTTCTAAGAGCGATGCAGAGGATGTGGTGGAGATCATGAAGCACAGGTTGAAATGTCTTCCCAAATGTGGTTATGTGCTGAAATGTCCATGTTCTTAAAGCAGTGACCTTCAATTTATTCAATGACTGTTGCAGTCTAGCTGACACCTACTCAGATGGTCTGGGCAATCTGGACTTTGAGCGCTCACAGCTAGGCTCAGGCATGAGTCAGCGCAGCGTCGCTAAGAGACTAGTCCATGCTCTGCACATGCATGCACAGAAAACCAACCAACGAGAGTTTGACTTGCAGACCATCCGCACTGTAGCAGACAAGCTTAACATCAAGGTGACCACTTCCTATGAAGGACAACACATATATGACTCGCATATGACTATTAGAAAGTCTCTGTGTAGATGGCTACTGTTCTGTCTTTTTATTGATATGATGTTGTGTTTCTAATGTTTGTTATTATTATTCTTAGGTCATGGACTTTGAAGGGCTGTTAAGTTCCCTCAATGAGCAGGGCTTTCTGCTGAAAAAGGGGGCTAAAATTTATCAACTGCAAACTGTGTAGTAACCAACAAGACATCAGAATCACTTGATGTCTGCAGTGTACGGCTACCAGATCCATATAAAAGTAAAATGCTCAGTCTTGTCTCTCGGTTTTGTCTGTAAACAGTAATATAAATGGCATCTTTTCTATTTAAAACTATTTATTCCACTCCTGTGTTTGGTTCAAGGTAAATGTTGTATGTGTAATGCATAAAAATGTATTTTTACAAATAAAATAAACACAATCATACAATGTATTCAGCCTTGGTTACTGTTTGACAGCTCTGAAGTAGGCCTTATCCAAAAGTTATATGGAACGTTGGTCAGTATACAAATGTCGCATAATTCTACTTTCACATGCATATCACTTACGGATGGGAGGAGGCACAGAACTATAGATCCATCGGAGGAGGAGTCAAGGGAAAAAAGGCGCGCCCCACTGTCGCAATAGTTCCACGACACCGCAAGTATCGAAATACGGCAATATGGTAGCTTGCAGGCTTGAGCTGCAACCCTGCCGACTCTGACCGTCTTTCTGAGTCTACAGTCGGCTATGGGGCAGGACAGCGTTCGGGAAGTCTTTTCATAGCGAAGGCTACTTCTAAACATGCTGACCGTGTGTGTGCTGAGGCTGTCGGCGCCTCGCTGCTCGAAGGCAGCCGCTGTGTGGCGTTCGGTGTCCGCGCGGAACAGGAGTGTGTGCGCGCTCGAGCCACCGTCATGGCGGTCTACACGCACACCTGTCACTGACTGCTTAAGGTTCACACAGAGCCGTGTCCCGTGCACTACCTCCGCGCTCCAGTTCTTCACACACACGGGACGCACGTTTGGAACTGTATTTTTACCCTGGAGAGGCCATAAGAGATCGTGGATTAATGACTGGCCTGTACCTGTAGTGCGAGGACTTTGTGATAGTAAAAAGCAGGAGTTAACCAATGGTTCAGAGGCGGACCGCAGTGAAGACAGTCCAGTCTCCGGACATGGGCTTTTCAAGTTCAAAGAGCTGGTGAGCCGCACCTCAGCAGGATTCAGCTGGAGGCTCCTCCTTCAAACATTTGGAATACTCAGAGGGGCCGTGTGTACGCAGTGTTGACCTAACGTGTGAAAAATAATTAATGAACGCTGTGATTTTGTAATAAAGATCCTGAAAAACAGCCACTATGAATAGTACTATACTCTTCACTGAGCCCATGAATGTTTAGTGTGTATTCTCTCCCGTGAGCTGTGGAACACAAGATAATTTCAACATAAAACTCAAAAGACACAATATTACCTTATAAGTTACACTGGGTGGCATGGTTATTTTGAGGATTGTGGTCTGATAACTTTGGGAACTTAAATTACTCTCAAGTTATTGATTTTCATGGCTCAAACAGAATGTCCTCAAAATCCTCAATCCCAATAGCCAAGATATAAAATAGGAGAGGATTACAGGAACCAAGTGGTATTGTATACTCTTCAGTCCTTGTTGTTCCAGTAGAACGTGAGCTGTTTGTTCTGACTTGTTGCTGCTCTGTGCCTACAGTACGAGAATCCCTGGACCATCCCAAATCTGCTGTGTGTGTGTCGGATTCTTCTCGCCCCTGTGCTAGGACACCTGATCATCACACAGCACTTCCACCTCAGCCTGGCTCTGTTCACACTTGCAGGAGCCACTGATCTGGTATTTCCCCACCCCCTCTGTCATATGCAAGATAACAGCTCGCAAATGCATATTCCTTAGTTTAATATATTGCAACCCAGAGTAGTACAACATACTTAGGTGTTCAGGCTGTGTATTGGCAGTGAGTGTACGAAAGTGAGGTATGTCCTGTGTGTGTCTCTCAGCTCGACGGCTACATTGCCAGGACTTGGCCCAGTCAGAAGTCGGCGCTGGGCAGTGCTCTGGACCCATTGGCTGATAAGATTCTTATCAGTGTTTTATACATCAGTCTCACCTACGCTGAACTTATCCCAGGTGAGAGCTCCATGTTTCCTGTGAGGACTCACTTTTGCTCATATTCTGAAAGGAGTCAGTCTGCATATATATATGTATTCATAAAAGGGGCTGATTCTGCATTGTGATACACATAAGTTGACTATGTAAAATGATTAAACTATAGCTTTTGTTGGTGTACTTTTCTAATTTCCTTTGAAAGGTGCATTTATAATGAGGGATCCACCCATACTACATCATGTAGTCATATAAACCTTATAGTCACATAATGGGTGACCACACAGTTCCTATGAAAGGCTCTGTCATTTACTGAGAAGGATCATTTCTGTTCAGTTTACACTAAGTTGCACATTAAAATTCAGTATGCTAAGCTGTAAAAGTGAGTGCTTGAGAAATCAGTCTTTCTGCTGTTAAGGGCAATGTGAACATGAAATATCAAAGCATTTTGTTATTCTGCACATTCTTAAAAAGTACTTAAAGTAACTTTTTAGATTATTTTTAGGATATGTATTATTTTGTGGATCCTGTATTGGGACATGTACTGTATCAGTTCTTCACAATACCCAGCCCTGATTATTTTGAATAATCAGTTTTGATTGCGTATTTTTTCCACTCAGTTCCCCTGTCACTAAAAACAGAGTACAAAGACTCCCCTGAAAATGAGATTTCAAATATCAGTGGAACTATCCTTGTTAAATGAGGCATTAAGTTTTTTTTTTTTAAAAAGCTAACAAAAGTAAATTTGATTATGTTGCTTAGTAAACTGTAAAGATGGCATTCAGTAGGTATAAAATCTAATAGTTAAAGCTAAATCATCTGTTTTATTGGCTGATGTGTAGGTCAGTAGTATTCACCCCAGTCTCCATGACACTGCTCTGTTTCAGTTCTGCTCACAGCTCTCGTCATCTCCAGAGACATTGGGCTCATTGCTGCAGTCTTTTGGGTCCGATACAAGACTGTCCCTCCACCAGTGAGTGCAACACCACAAAGTACTGCCAGTAACAGCACTTTCAACCCTACAAACAATAGAATCCAGACCTTATGAGGCATTTACTTTTTTTGTTCTGATTTGTTTATTTAATGGCATTCATTTTGGTTTAAATCAGTGTCGCCCAAAGTGGACAAACTTGGCCATTCAAGTAGTTTGATGGACTGCTGATCTATTTTCTATTTTGATTCAATTTTGCCCTGAATTGATTGTCCATAGTTGGTTCAGATTACTAGCCTCAACAGCCCATAATTAGAGACAGTTTAAATCTAAATGTTTGTTCCCTTGGTCTGCTGAAATGTTTCAATTTTAGCCCGCGATGAAAAAAAAACCTCCTGTATGAACACATTCAAATCTGTCCACAAAGGAGAACAGTCCATTTGTGCTCATTCTCTTCCCACTTTGCACACTGCAGCTTGTATTCAACACTGACTTTTTTTGTTATTCATCCTCAGGTGACCCTGAGCAGGTTCTTTAATCCTTGCTACACTACAGCACAGCTCAAGCCTACCCTCTTCAGTAAAGTAAGAATTGATATTGTGCAAATGTAGAAATACTAAGTCAATAGAATTTGTCATATTTTTATAGTCTGTTTTTAGTTAAAAGGTTATGGTAATGTGGCTTTAAGTTTAAGTAGCCTTGATCACCTGCTTTGTGCTTTTCAGATGAACACAGCCATCCAGCTGTTCCTTGTGGCTGCATCTTTGGCTGCTCCAGTCTTCCAGTACACAGACAGTGCTGCGTTGCAGTGTCTATGGTTAGTCCTTTGAACATACAGAACACACAGGCACAGGGAGCTTTACTCATTCCACTACATGTAGCTCTGCTGCAGTGCACCAGTGATGCACAGGCGTCACTGGGCAGCCCTCAGAAACAAAATTAAGAATACATTTATTTTAAGTTCATTTAATGCTTAATTACCTTTGCGGTGGCGAAAAAATATGTAAAAAGTTTATGTTAATGGCAATCTCATTATAAGCAGGAGTTATCTCTATTTATGCTTAGAATAAATTTGGTCTTAAATTGTGTATTTTGTTTCACAAACTTGTGGTTTGTGTATTTGCATGCTCTTCTCAAACTCCTCCAAATAAAGAACATCAGAAAGCAAGGCAGTGGCTTAGTGAATGTAGTGTGTGTGCATCGCCCTGTTATTATGCGGTAGTGTGAGGTGGTTTCGACAGGTTCTGTTCTCATCTCAGTTTCCCTTTACACACTCTACTCGGACATTTACATGTACAATATATCCATGTGATGCTTTAATATACTTTTTACAGTGTCAGTCTTTTACACTGTGTATTACAGGTTTATCACTGCAGTGACTACAGCAGCATCTGGGTACAGCTACTGGCACTACGGCCGCAAGACGGTTAAGTTGCTCAACGCTCGGTCACCATGACAACTGAACCTGGGCATCACCATGAAGATCAGGCCCAAAGAGCACCTTTAGCAACCATACTTCACATCATCCTGATTATGATCTCAGGAAAAACAATTTTGTAACAAAAATGACTTATTAAAAATAACATATCACTTTCAGAATCTTTATTTGATAAAAAAAAAAAAAAAGGTTTACAACATGTATTGCAGTACTCATCAGCCTTGCATCTGCTCTAGTTTTAGTGTCTGCCTTATTACCTTTAAAATATATGATGAGAAATATTTTTTATTTGCAACCATGCTGTGAAAACCCCAGAGCTGAGAGGGTTTTCATGATTTAGACATATTCTGCAGACTCTGCCATCTCCATGTGTTTGCTTAAAGTTGTTTATCCTCTTTTGGGTTAGTTTTTGTTTTGAACTTCTGTAGCAACGGTGTATGTAGTTTTTGGTGTGAAAAGATTGAGAACAACAGGTTCAGTCCTGTAATGTTATAACTGTTAAGTTATTTAATTTATGAGTGGGTTTTCCTTATGAAGGCACCGCGTAATCAACAGGAAAAATAAGTGTCAGTTTACGCTTATGCACTAATAAAGTTTGTTTGAGTGGGGGTCGTTGCTAGGATACGGTAAGCTTTACGTTGGACGTAGCTCCGATTCAGTTTTGTAAAGTGTTCAAGGAAGATCATGCAAGACAAGAGGCACTGGCAACTCGGGTTCAGTTGTGACTGTGTTGCCTTTTTAAAACTAAGATTACAGGCTACATACTGTCAAAGGCTGTGGAATTAATTCAATTTTGATTGTGATTTCAATTTGTGTGTCAAACGATCCCCAAACTCATATAATCCAGTTAAAATAATTTAGGGTGCAGATATATTTGTCCAGTGTGAGCGCAATTAAACCATGCACAGGCATGGCATAGATGGGACTTTGGGCTGGTTGGAGGAGGTGGACCAAAGCACGACACGGTTGCTCATTATGCGCACATGCACAACTTTACTTTACGATCCCTGTCAGATGCGGAAAACTGTGAATAAAGTCCACTCTAAACCACATAGCGAATCCATGTTGACCTTCAATAAGGACTGTGACAGAGACAAAAGTTTTGCAGCTTCGTCTCCAGCTATCCCTACTCCTCTCTCTGTCCTTGTCTCCTTCTGTCTTCCCTCCTCCTCCTGTCCTCATCTCCTCCGCGCTGTTATTATATCAATAAACTCATGGAGGAACACATATTGCAATAGTACCCACATCTGCTTCACTATTTAATAGATATTTCTGCCACTAGACTTATTTTCTCCAACAAACAGTGCCGTGTGATGACATCATCAGCTGTGGCCCGGTTCAGTTGTGCAGGTGTGAGTGCAAGATACATATTTGTAGCCTATATTTATTTTCAATTTGAAAGTTTTGTGTAAATTATCAGTAACAAAGTGATTTCCTTTTTGAGAGAGAAATGCTGAATAAATGCATCGTGTAACTAAAAAATAATCACTTGAATAATCGAGATTTCAATATTGACCAAAATTATATTAATAATGATTTTTTCAATAATTAAGCAGCCCTAATACTGTCCCTTTAAATGAAGGGCTTGTGCTTTATCTGTTTATGACAGGTCATGGGGCACTGTCTCTAGCAGAACAACGCTTTGGATATTTACCAAGAGTACTTCACTGAGGAGGACGAGGAGGCGTGCGTTGAACTACCATCAGCCAAAAGCATCAATGTTTTTAGGTCTGTGTCACAATATGAATACCTCAGAAGCAGTAATCATTTATAATTACATATAAATCACCCACTGTATTCCACCAGAGACCCAAACAAACTGAAGCACACAGTCTCGTGCCTGTCATGGCACCCAGATGGAGGGAAAAAGTTGGCAGGTGCTTACTCCTGTCTACACTTCCAAACCTCACATTCAAACATGTGTGAAGACTCTTACATCTGGGATATTGGTCATTAAGTTCTTTTCTCTGAATCCTCTTTTCAGGCACCACCAAAAGCATAACATTGACATACAATTATATAGTTCATAAATATGTTTTTATTTATTGTTTATCTCAGAAAACCCTCTCCTCTCCTCTCGTCTGCATCAAGTACAATCCTAAAGACCCCCATACACTGACCAGATTATAAGGCACACTGTTGATTTTTGAGAAAATTTAAGTAATTTAAGTGTGCCTTATAGTCCGAAAAATATGATAAATCAGAGAATAGCATAATATTAACCATTTAAGGTTGAACAGTATTGAGAGGGCATATAGTAATTTAAAGGTGGACTGCATAACTTTTCTAGTAAAGAGTTTGCTACTTTTATTCATGGAGATGTTTTTGATTCACCTCGATTGTTACAGGGTATGCTATTATGGCATTTATTTATCCATCTATATGAAGACAAGGACACTGTAAGAATTTGGTTTTCAAGATTTTTTAAGCAACAAAATCACCTGTTCTTGAATTCATACAATATTTGTGTAGTTTAATGCTATATTGTGGAACATTACAAACAATAACATCAAGCTCGTGACAAACCCTTCACCAGAAAAGTGATATGATGCACCTTTATACATGCAAAATTATGACCCTATTAGGATCTTAAGTCACACAAGAATTCAAAGCATTTCAGCATAATACTACATAACAGGGTCAAGACTCTAAACAGACAGAATATGTTGTGTGAAAGGAATTTTATATGAGAAGTATTATTTAAATTCCAGTTGTGATTCAATTGTAGTTAATATGCAAAAAAAATAAATAAATAAAAGCTGTAAAATGCTTTTTAAGACTGGCGTTAAACCTTGCTATGATATAGAATGAAACCAAATCACAAAATGTTTACCTTAATGGTCATCTCTGCTAGGAAGATCACAGTGAATAAATAATTGGAGACGCTCAGGAACACCCGCACCTGAAGACACACATTGCCAACACACATCAATGTAGTTTGTTTGAATAAAAAGTATATTACATTGAAAATGACATTAAAATAGTATGGGGAATTGCAGTCTAACACAAGATGAATCATTTACTGGGCTCTCTTTCTTTATGCCTGGCCGCTCCAAGGCGATGGTGATACAGTTGAGGAAGATGAAAAACGGCACAATGTGGTCAAAGAGCTTGTGAGAGAGACCGATTGGCACCATGAAGAAACCTGACAAAAAATAAAATGCACTACCCATATTTTTACTCACACCTGTATATTGTACGAAAGAGCATTGTAGTCAGTGAAAAAAAAAAAAAAATGTGGAGGGGGGAGGGGAGGGGGGATTATCTCGTAATTACGAGATACTATCTCGTAATTACGAGATAATTACAAGATACTATCTCGTAATTACGAGATAATCCCCCCTCCCCTCCCCCCTCCACATTTTTTTTTTTTTTCACTGACTACAATGCTCTTTCGTAATATTGGCACCCTACAAAAATGTTTATTTACTATAACTTTCTATTTAATTATTCTATTGAAAAACTCAGATCTCAGACTAAATACGCAGGGTTTGTGTGTTAAACATGTGTCAATGAAACAAAAACACAACTGTAGGTATGTTTTGATGAGGAAACAACATTATAACATAGATCAGAAAACAGTGTAATATAGGCTATTTCATTAATTAAGTAGTAATTTAGTAGTATTTAATTTAGGTAGACACAGGTAATACGTTTACATTCAAAAATAGGATCTAATACAAAATTTAATATACTGCTGTAGTCACACTTGGCCTGGTTTGCTTCAGTTTAGTCCTAAGGTAGACTCGGTTTGGTTCTAATTCTGGTTTAATTGTAGTCTAGTGCAGGTTTAGTCAGGCTGGCTCCACCTAGTGCCTCCGCTCAATTTAATTTCTCTCCAGCAACTAGTTTAAGAATCGAAATACAGTAGAGCGTGATTTAGAGCTTTATGTATCATATCACATGTAGCATAAGTTTCTTGCTTCCGCATAAAGCATAGGGAGGGCCTATTCCATCCTTCTTGTCAGACCCAGATGTAGAACTTGTGCATGTTGTGTTCAGGTACCAGATGTCCTACGTGACAGACGCATGCTGGAGCCCCGTGCGGCCCTCAATGTACCTTACCTCAAAGATGGATGGTGTGCTGGATGTATGAGATGTTCTGTTCAAGCAGAATGACCCCACCTTGAGTCTCAAGGTGGGCAACTCACACATTCACAGTCACCCTCACCAGTGTCAAATGATGCACATCTTTATTCTACAGGTGTGTGACGAGCCCCTGCATTGCCTTCAGATTCAGGACAGGGGCCGTTTGGTGGGATGTGGCTCTCAGGCGGGCTCTGCTATACTACTGGAGTTTTGCTCGGGGCTGTCCACTTTACAGAGGAACGACAAGAGCCTGTTGGCAGCTGTGAGTACTACAGGCATGTGTCTAAGGCTTATTGTACCTGCATACTCTTGTACTACATGTGATGCTGTATGCAGATGTTTGAGCGTGGGGCCAAGTGTGAGAAAATCTTTGAGGCCTGTCAGAGAGAACAGCGTTTGAAAGAGCGCAGCTGAGCAGAGGGTTGCAGAACTTTGATGATGGCACTGACGCTCTTCTATTATGTCATGTAAATAGTTCATAGTCATAATGTAATATATCTTGTCTTTTGCTGGATTGTGCTGCACATGTACATGATGTAAATGTACTTTTGACCTTTTTGCTTAACAGTGTCCAACACAGTAAATGACACATTTAAAATTGGCAAAATTTCTACTGTTTTATATTTATGTTTATTTATGCAGAAGTGGTTGGGAGTTCTCAAAAAACACAAAGGGAGATGCCCTATGCTATTAACTTTATGCCAGCACCACTGCACTACGGTGCTATATGTAAAACTGCATACTTACAGTACGCATTGATTTAAACCCATAAAAATAAAAGAAGAGAGAGAGATTGAGAATAAATTTTGTTATTACTGAGCTCTCACCCTGTCACCCCAATGATGCCCTGTTTTAACTGTGTCCAGTAAAAACAGCATGTAATAATGATACAGGTGTTCAACACTCAAATACACTAATGGATGCTATTCTTGCTAACACAAAAAGGATGCACAAGAAGATGCTGCCCACACACTAGCACGTGCACGCTCCCACAGGCACATGTACTCACACTCCTTATGTTAGCCCCTCTCTGAGCTGGAGCTTATATAAGGACGAGTGGGAGGCTGAGCTATTTCAGGAGATCAGAAGATGTGCAGAGTTAAGTGTAGGACTGCTGTGAGCATGTTTCATAACTAAGAAACTTTTAAACTCAACCTTCCTCCACCGCCATTCCCTGTTATATCTGTGCACATATGCTGGTCTTCTGAAGTTTGTTTTTGAGGTCAAGCCTGTAGAAAGGACTCATAGTGCACTCATTTCAGATTGAGGTGTTTGGAGAAGGTGATGGAGAAGATGATGGAGGCAATGGAGGAGAGAGAGGTGTTTAGAGGTGACGGAGGAGAGTGAGCTGTTCAGAGGAGGTGATCGAGGAGAGTAAGATGTTCAGAGGTGATAGAGAGGAGAGAGATGGTAGCTCCGAGGTAGCATAAGATGCAAATGCATTTGGAACGTTTTACAGGAAGTAGGAATACAGTAGGCCTACATTTAAGCTTATTTTTGGGCTGAATTGATAAGCCTATAATCACTCCTGTTGGGATCCTGACAGCTCCCAATAGGAAGATCTCCCCTGCTGTCCTCCAGTTCCGGATCCTGCCTGTGCTCACACATTATCAACAGAGTAAAAATGACATAAAATTGATATTTTAAGCTTTTGATTTGTGAAAAGTCAAAGGATATTTGCAGTTTTGGTATACAATATAAATAGAAATATAATAGAATAGAAATATAATAATTATTATAATGCAAATAATGATAATTCAAGAAGAATACATTATTTATGATAAATAATAGAATAATAATAATAGAAGAATAGAATAGAAGGCTGCAGCATTTTTGCCCAGCCATCGTCATGGTAACCTTATAGTAAGCTAAATAGGCCTAAAGTGGCCTCATATGGCCTTGCGCGCGTTATTCTCTTTCCTCCCAGTTTCTCCTCACCACATTTTCTGTGGGAAGCCGCGATCTGCGCATGTCCCCAATGATGAGTCAATCTGTATCCTGTCACAAACGAAAGCATCTGTTGAGTAGCCTACGTCTCTGTGCATAACAGCACCAACAGAGGCGCACGGGGTGGGCGCACAGCGGTAGGGGCGGTGAGGCGCAATGAGGCGCAGTAACACACAGGAAAGCAGAGTGAAGAGCGGTTGTGAGAAGTTGGACGTACATCTGTGATTAAAGCCATGGCGAGCGCTCAGCCCGGTGTCCACGCGCTCAAACTGCAGCCCCCTGTTGTATCTCATACTCTGAGAACCGGCAGCAACTTCATTAAATGGGACGAGGTAATGTAGCCAATTTTGTCTAAGTCTGACATTTCTGTTTGTACCCCTGTGGACTATCAAACCATAAAGTCATTTTCTTAAATCAGTGAGGGCATTTCTCATGTGCCCCTCTCACTTGTAGATTTGTTTGTTGTTTGGGTTTTAGAGGCAGCATTATCTGCTGCATGCACACATGCTCAGCATGACATCCATGACTTCCTGATATCTGTAAATCTGGTCATGATCTCGCTGTTCTTTGTTTTCCAAAGATGGTCCTAACTTAGTGAATATCCTGGTGTCTGTGTAGGACCTGTCCACAGTGACTCCGGTGATGCTCCGTGTGGATTCACATGGATTCTATCTCCAGTGGATGGATCAGAACAAGGTGCTGATCCCTCCATTACATAGGCCTATAGTCCAGACCTACCATATTTCTAATACATAATGTTTTTGTGTGTTCATTCACTTGACATTTTGTGTGCTAATAACAGAATTACTATCCATTAGTAAATCTTACAGGCAAAATTCTAACTACATGTTGAGATTATCTGATTCAGCAATAGTACACTACTAGAAAACAGTTTTGCATTCCCCAGGATACTGAGCTCCTGGACCTGACTCTGGTCAAAGATGTCCGAACCGGTCGCAGCACCAAGACTGCCAAGGTACAGCACCTCCTGGTGTCTCCTTCTACTGTCTCCTTCTACTGTCTCCTCCTACTGTTTTCTTCTAGCTGCCATCCAAGTGCTAATTCTAAAGCTTTGCTCTTGATGTTTGTCCCTTGTCTTTGTTTTGAGTCACTTATTTATCTGACATTAGGAGGCCAAGCTGCGTGAGCTGCTGGATGCAGGGAACCTGGTGGGGCGCTTAGAGAACCGCATGCTCACTGTGGTTACTGCCTCTGACCTGGTCAATGTCAGCCAACTCATCTTCATTGCTTCACAGGAGGATGAGGCAAAGGTGCAGAGGGCTTTACTGACCTATGTGGGGTAACGGGGGGGCTTCATGTAGAGTGACTATACAGAGGGGCCAATGTGAGATTATTACCATATGGTATTCTGGTCCTGCACTTCAGGTGTGGAGCGAGGAGCTGTTTGCTTTGTGTTCCAACTTGCTCAGCCTCAACTTGAATCGAGAGAGGAGTTTACTGAAGGCGTGAGTGACAGACACATTTTTTTAAAAACATAAGACCTGTTACTTCAACATATGCACTGACTTGTTAAAATATGAATAAAAACATTCTCTCTATAACTAAATATTCATATTATTTTTGTGGCTGTATACATTTGCTGTGTGTGTTTTTGTTTGTAATAAAGTTTTGATGATAATGACAATGATGTGTACTGCTGTGCTTTGTTGCTTACAGGTATGTTAGACTGACACTGCTGCCCAATGCAGAAGAAAGAATACCCGTCAAAAAGTAACTATATCTTCCTGTCACATTAAATATGTCTCTAACTGTGATTGGAGGGCTATTGAATCTGTGTTTCCTTGGAGAAATCAGATTATAAACTAACAAAAAATATAGTAAGTGTGAACATGTAAATGTTCCGTAAGAAAGCTTTGTTCTGTTTCAGCATTGTTCGTCTGTTTTCCGCTGATCGTAAGAGAGTGGAGAGTGCCCTGGAGAGCTGCAGACTGCCTTATGGCCGGGTAAGCCGGTGCAGAGAAGATTTAGCTCCACTATAACACAAACACTGGCTCTTGTCTCATAGGGTGACAGCATTAGACTGGAGGACTTCACTTTGGATGTGTACCGCAGCTTTCTGGAAAATTTATGTCCCCGTCCAGAACTTGCTCTAATTTTCAAACAGCAGTGAGTACTGATTAAAAAATAAATTAAAAAAAAACACGTCTTTGTTTCAAACAATAAGAGAATTCAAGTGCTGCGTAAATCTTCTCTTGTGTTGTAATAGCCCTAGAAATATCAGTGGTTTGTCTTGTTTTTGCAGAGGGGGCACTGATGGCACGCTGACACTGGACCAAATGACAGACTTCATTAACAGCACACAGAGAGACCCGCGGCTCAATGAAATCCTGTACCCACCTCAGCGGCCACCTCAAACTCGCTCACTGCTGCAACGCTACCAGCACCAACCCCACCTGTTGCAGGAAGGTAGAACAGGATATGTGGCTCTGATACCTGACCCATATTAAACTCTTTAATTATGTTGTATATTCTGGTGCCACCCCTAGGGCTGGTGTCCCTGCAGGCCTTCTGCTCTTACCTCTCCAGTGACGAAAATGGAGTCATCCCTCCAGAGAAACTGGATCAGTCTGAGGACATGAGCTTCCCTCTGTCACACTACTTTATCAACTCCTCCCACAACACGTACCTGACAGGTGTGGCTCCAGGACACCTGCATGAGTGTGCAGAGGATTGTTCTGTGGTGCCCTGTAGCTGCAGCAGCAGCTCGTGTCCTGGTTGTTATTGGTGTGTTAGTAGTGGATCTTTCTGGTTGGTTGTTGCTGTGCAGTATTAGCTCATGATGGTTGTCATGACGTTAACAGCGGGCCAGTTGGCGGGCAGCTCATCAGTGGAGATGTACCGCCAGGTGCTGTTGGCCGGATGTCGCTGTGTGGAGCTGGATGTGTGGAAGGGCCGTACTGCTGAGGAGGAGCCTGTCATCACACATGGTTTTACCATGACATCAGAAATATCATTCAAGGTACCCTGAGTTGATTTCACTGCATGTTACTGTACTTCCATTGTTTTCTATATAATATTATTGAAAATAAATGACACATCACTCATATTAATAATCAAACACATGCTTTTGTTTCTATTTGAACTGGAACATGAAAAGTCAGTTTTGTTCTTTGGTGTTGTGTGTTGGGTTAAGACCCTTCATTATAGTTGTGTTTAACCAACACTTTTTGTTCATTTTAGGAAGTGATTGAAGCCATTGCAGAGTGTGCATTCAAGACTTCACCATTCCCAGTCATACTGTCTTTTGAAAACCATGTCGACTCGTGAGTATTTGGAATAGCCTCATGTTGCATATTTTTCACACTCCATTTCTGCTTGAATTTAAGTTATTCTGGCCATCTGGCCAGTTGTTGTTTTAAGTAAGGGAACACTGTGAATATGTAAATATATTAAATTAAATAGACCCAGTGCAAAAGTTTTTCCACTTCACTGTGGAGCCATCTCCAATCTACTTGTTCTGCTTCTTCAGGCTCAAACAGCAGGCCAAGATGGCTGAATACTGTCGCTCCATCTTTGGAGAAGCACTCTTGATCGACCCTCTGGACAAATATCCAGTAAGTTATCTTGCATTATTGAAAGTTGCAGAGGATCTCTGGGACAGACACCGCTCTTTTCTTCCACCATGAAGACTCAAAATGCTTTTTATCATTTTACCATTCACATACACATTCATTTAACCAGTGTGCATAGATACTGGAGGTGATGCAAATGAAATGCCTTGCGCAATGAGACAAGGAAATATGCACTGGAAGGAACTGGATTCAAACAGAAAAGCACAATCTCTACAAAATTCAGGACCTATAAACCTTTAACATATAGGCGAGTATTTATCACATGGGGACACTGAAATCTATATAACCACTTTATGTGGGCCTGACCGAAAAATTAAGATTAATTAGGTTACGATTATGGTATGGGTTAACGTTAGAAAAGCAGTGATTATGGTTAATCCCCCAAAAACATGGAAACTCACTGTGTTGTGTGTGTGTGTGTGTGTGTGTGTGTGTGTGTGCGTGCGTGCGTGTGTGTGTGAGCAGCTCCAGCCTGGTGTCCCTCTACCCAGCCCCCAAGAGCTGATGGGAAAAATACTCATCAAGAACAAAAAGTCCCATAAACCCGCCTCCACTGGTGACACCAAGAAATTGACAGAGCAGACAGCCAATCAGAATGAGCTACTGTCACTTAGCAACAATACTGGAGGTGAGACTTGTTAAAATGTTTGTTTGTTTGTTTGTTTATCTCCCACTCTTCAAATATTAAGAATATTATACAACTTCACCAAGGTCTCTTCAAGAGACTGATTGATTATGGAAAGGTTTCTCTGTTGTGCATTCAGTTAGTATGCAATCAGGTTCATACAGTCTTCTAAAAAGCACCAGATCCAGTCAACAGTCTATGCTTAAGTGTGCACCAAGTCTGCAGATAGAGCATGAAGCCTGCTCTTTTCTTCTACAGAGATTGAGGCTGAGAGTGAGGAAGATGAGGAAGATGAAGACGATGAGGGTAAAAAGGTTAGTAGTGACACAGTGAGCTGCTTTGTGGTGTCTTCAGGTGCTGCTCTGTGTGTGGTTCATTTTGCTGCTGCTAGTGCTACACTCTTTAGTGTTCACAGTGTAGTCGATCATTTCAGTTTTGTTCTTTTGTTTGACACATTGTATTTTGAGTGGTGTTCTGTACCCTGGCTGTCATGCTTTTCTCACTTCCAGATGTGTGATAGTGATTCCAGTGCTTTTCTTGTGCAGGGCTCAGTGGAGCGTGAGGCAGTTGCCGCAGAGGAAATGTCCACTTTGGTCAACTACGTGCAGCCCACCAAATTCAACTCATTTGAAGCTTCCAGAAGTAAGAAACTGTTCTTTAACATTGCTGAGTATGTAAAAGATTATATAATGCATTGTGTGGGTGTATTGAAACACAGAATTCTATTGTAAGTAAGTATACAAACCTAATAGCACAGAAATCATAAACTGTGATCATCTAGATACACTGGGCTACATTAATAGTTACAATAACCGTGCTACCCTGCTGTGGGAAAGACCCATTTCCTGTGATGTGTTCTTTTTGTATAGAGGCCGACCGCTCCTATCACATGTCATCTTTTGTGGAGACCAAAGCTTTAGAGCATCTCACGAAATCACCAGTGGAGTTTGTTGAGTATCCATGGCACTGGATTTTAAAGTGTCAATATCCCATATATACATATGCAAACTTTCTCCTTAACCATGTGTTAGATATAATAAATCTCAACTGAGTCGAATCTACCCCAAAGGGACTAGAGTGGACTCCTCTAACTTCATGCCTCAACTTTTCTGGAATGCTGGATGTCAGCTGGTGGCTCTCAATTATCAAACGATTGGTAAGATCTTATTAACCTTAAGACACCACTTTTACTTTGAGGGAGGGATTGGTGCTACATTTCTGTGATGATCTGTTAATGAAATTAATGAAATATTGAACCTGAGTATTTGTTTTACTGACAAGGACCTTTCATTTAGCATAAACAGTATGTATGGCTTCCCATAACAATACAGACCAATAAATGCTGTCATATACCACCTAATAAGTATCTACTAAACTGGTTTTCCTAGTTCAAAAGATAACAGATGAATCATGTGGACTAATTACCTCATTACATAAGTAAATGTATCGCCAAATATCAGCAAGTCAATGCCAGTAACTGGATTAAATGTAACTGATGACTTATCACTTAATGATTCATATTTGAGGCCCTGTGTCATGTGTTTCCAGATCTCTCGATGCAGCTTAACCTCTTTATGTTTGAGTATAACGGTCGGAGCGGGTACAGACTGAAGCCAGAGTTTATGAGGCGGCCTGACAAACATTTTGACCCATTCACAGAGAATACTGTGGATGGCATTGTGGCAAACACTCTGTCTGTGAAGGTGAGGCTACAGGGGGCATGTATACATAGTACCAGAGCTATGAATGGTATTGGAGGTGTTGCTGGTTGTAGTTGTGGTTTTTGTTGTGGGAGCTGCTGATGAGTCTGATTTGGGAAGTGCAGGTGATTTCAGGTCAGTTCTTGAGTGAAAAACGAGTGGGCGTGTATGTGGAGATGGACATGTTTGGACTGCCGGCAGACACAAGGAGGAAAGCACTCCGAACCAGAACTTCTCCCAACAACAATGCCATCAACCCAGTGTGGGACGAGGAGCCAATTGTCTTCAAAAAGGTGAGGTGGTGCTGAGGAAAGCATTTCACTGTAGCACTGTGTGATTCTGACAGTTGTGTGTGTCTCTACCAGGTCATACTGCCCACTCTGGCCTCCCTCAGAGTGGCTGTTTTTGAAGAAGGAGGGAAGTTTATTGGACACAGGATTATTCCAGTGTCAGCAATAAGGCCAGGTATGCCTGAAGTTAAGTAATAATGTGAAATAATTACCGGTAAATAGAATTGGTATGTTTTAATTAAACTTGTTCACCATTCAAGATGAATGCACAGCATATACAAAACAACAGATGGATCTGAGATCATCTGGACAGGGCTGTTTTGGAGGCTATACTTTAATTGTTAAGGCCTATTAATATGTATTTTTCATTAAAGAATCAAAAGCACTTAAACCAAGAAAAGCACAAAAGAGTGTTCTGCAATCAATTCCAACATTGTGCATTATGTACTGTTTTATTTTTTGACACTTTATTAATCATATTTCATGGTTTTATAAAACAAATCAAGAAAAATAATTTAGCTCTGAATTCTGAGCCCTTCTACAGGAAGGGAAGGGAGTTCTAAAATTAAATCTATGAAATACCTATTTCATCAAGTTGGAATTTACAGACAAGGAAGTCATTTTTTCTGACAGTTTAAATATTGATTTAACAACATAAAGATGTTGTCATTTATTTTTATTTGTCATTTAAAAATGATAATGATAATGATGTGTAATTTAAGTTTTGGCCCTTTTTAACCTTATGTGTTTTATGTAACATACCTCTAAGTCCGTCATCTACTGCCTGTGTCTGTCCAATCAGGATTTTTTTTAAATAAAATCTTAAGTCTAATGGTTTGATCTATGTATGTAGTTTCATATAGCTCTTTAATTCATCTTGCCTGGCAAATCCAGAATGGTATCTCTGTATTTCTTTTACATAGGCAATATATAATTCATCACCACAGAGGACCAGCATTAGAGATTACAGAATAATTGAATTATCTACATTATTTGTTAAATACTGTGCCCACAAGGCAGGGGATTTCTGAAACCAGCTTTATTGTCTCACATTTAATATAGAGTACATCATGCCTATAAATCTGCTTCTTTTAATTTTATCACTAAACCCACACACACAGCCTCTGCCGGAATATTTGGCACATTACCTGATATCCACATCTGAAGTCTAAAAGGACTGACTGTGCTTTCTCTCTCTCTTTAGGTTACCGTTACATCGGCCTGAGGAATGAAAAGAACCAGCCCCTCACTCTGCCTGCTGTTTTTGTTTACATGGAAGTCAAAGATTATGTACCAGATACATTTGCAGGTAACAGAAGAGGCATTGTCCTGGCCCAGGTGATGATTTCCTTTGCTTTAATGTAACACAAAAACAAGTTGGCCTGTAGTTTGACCACTTGTACACCTCAAATTGACAAACCAGATACGATTTACCCAGAGACAAAAAGGAAACATGAACTTCAGATAAACAGTCAAATTGTTATTCATTGTTCATTTTATAATTAATGGTCAGGCATCACACCACACAAGCATTAGGGTTATTTTTGTCTAATTTCCTATGCTTGTGTGGCTCAGATGTGATAGAGGCCTTGTCTAATCCAATCCGCTACGTGAACCTACTGGAACAGAGGTCCAAGCAGCTGGCCGCTCTGACGCTGGAGGAGCCTGAGGAGGACATGCAATCTGAGGTGTGCTTTTGTTTTGTTGTGCACTGACAACTGAACTTCTGTGTGAGTAATTTAGTTCCATGCGCTCAAATGAGAATTGTTCTGACTTGTCATATAGACTGCATGTGTCAAAAAGAGTAAATACTGTGACTTAGGGTCTTGTAACTCTGCAGCAAAGTGAGGCAGACAGCTGTGTGGAGAGAAAGACTGACACCAGAACAACAGTGGAAAATGGCCTGAGCCTGGCTTCTGTACCAATGGGACACACCCCAGTGACCACCACTCCCAAAGCTTCAACAGCCAATCAGCTGACAGCTACTACAGGTAATGCCCACAGAACATCTCGATTGTCTCCTGTAATTGGACTGAGCTCATTTTGGTCTACTTTAGATGCCAACAAAGCCCCCTCCAAGTCCGAAGACCTTGTCCTTTGTGTTTTCATTGGTGAGAAGTTCTTCCTTGTATGTGGCTCTATCAAATACCAGAAATACAGCAGTTTGTGAATAGCTAGAGCTGTTTGTCCACCGTAGACCTCCAGGTGTGCTCCATGGAGAGTCTCCAGCAGTCCAAGTTGTACCAGAAAGAGCAGAGGCGACAGAGTAAGGAGCTAAAGGAGCTTCTCAGGAAACACCAGAGGAAAACAAGTCAACTATATCTAGACTTGAAAAGCAAATACAAGAAAGTGGCTCGGCATCATAGCAGGTTATGCCAAAAAGAATTACTTTATTCTGTCATTGAATTTTCTTTTCTGTTGTATGTATGTATGTATGTGTGTATATATATATATATATATATATATATATATATATATATATATATATATATATATATATATATATATATATATATATATATATATATATATATATATATATAGTGCTGTCATGCGATTAAAAAAATTGAGAGATTAATTAATTATGATCTGTAATTAATTAATCTCATTTTAATCTCACCTAAAAATTGCTGAGAAAAGCCTTCAATTTGAGGTATTTTCATTTAAATTCATTATTACATTATTGTGGCAGATCAAAAGACTGATATAGAACAAAAAAAAGTGACTTGATAAAGTCATTTATTGTTTAACAAATCTCCCCAAATTGGCTGTTGAGCCCAAGTCTCCATGAATAAGAAACTGTTTGCTGTAAAGTAGCAAAGACGAGGAAATCTGAACATAATAACTTTTGTCTACTTAAAGACAATAAAAAGTCCAGTCTTTCCTTAACCATATTAAAAATATTATTGATAGAGAAATGCTTTATATATGAGATCACTGGTTTTAGTCCTTGTTTTAGTCCTGGTTTAGACCTGCTTTAGTCCTACTTTAGTCCTAGTTTAGTCCTGGAATGAATTAATCCTGGTTTTAGTCCTGGTGTTAGTTCTGGTTTGGTCCTGGTTTAGACCTGGTTTTAGTTCTGGTTTTAGTTCTGGTTTAGTCCTGGTTTAGTCCTGGTTTAGTCCTGGTTTTAGTTCTGGTTTTAGTTCTGGTTTTAGTTCTGGTTTAGTCCTGGTTTAGACCTGGTTTTAGTTCTGGTTTTAGTTCTGGTTTAGTCCTGGTTTAGACTTGGTTTAGACCTGGTTTGAGTTCTGGTTTTAGTTCTGGTTTAGTCCTGGTTTAGACCTGGTTTAGTCCTGGACTGGATAAGTTCTGGTTTTAGTCTTGGTGTTAGTTCTGGTTTAGAGGCGCACAGGAGGAAGCGCGGTTTACGCAGCGTACGTGAGAAAACACGATCCACACGTGGCTCACGGGAGGACAGCGGTGTCCGCGCAGTAACTACGGAAGGAAACGTGGTCCGCGCGTTCTCAGGTTAATGACGATGATGAAGGTGTGTGTTTGTGTTTGTGTGTGTTTGTGTGCGTGTCCCCTCATGTGGCAGGTCACTATAGGACAGTAGTGCAGACATCATGAGTCTATGCAGGTTGTTTTCACCAGTGACATTTAAGTTGTAGGCGATATTATATTAGTTATTTTCTTTTATATTTCACGTCGGGAGAATAATTTCCAAGACACGAATGCGTTTTTACCTGTGCACTGCTGACTCTGTTCTACTACTGGCTCTACGACCTCGTCCATTGTGCGACTGACGCCACCAACGTTAACATGACGTTTACATCGCTCTTACTGCGTGCGTTTTGTGTGGGTTTCCGGCAATGAGTGGAATTACCGAAAAAAAAAAAATGTATAAATGTGTTTTTTTGTGTGTGTGTTGTTGTCCCAACAACACATAAAAACAGGTTTTATAATAAAGCAACTCGCATACAGAAACACTAAAGTTAGAGATTAAAAATGACATTAACGCGATTAAAAAACATAACGCGCTAAATATGACTGTAATTAATTAATCGCAATTAACGCGATAATTTGACACCCCTAATATATATATGTATGTATGTATGTATGTATGTGTGTATATATATATATATATACACATAAACATGTGTATTATTTTATTGTATTATCTGGCCTTAAGCAGTAATGTCTGCAACATGTGTAGATAATTAGAAAAGTGGTTTATTTGGTTTGAGTGTGATTTATTGTCTAACAGAACTCAAGCAAGTGAGAGGGAAGAGCGCCTCCTACAGGCAAGACAGGAGCAGCAGCAGCACCTTCTGTCTCTGAGACAGGAGCAGTACTACAGCCAGAAGTATCTCCGCCGAGAGCACATTCGAGAGGTAGGACTCGTCACAAGTGTCTCCCAGAGCTCCACAAAGTGCCTCAGCACATGTTTGTTGTTGTGCACAGCTGACAGAGTGGCTGAGCAGGGCGGCAGAGCAGAACCATTGTGTCCAGATGAAGAAACTTGGAGACATCCAGGACAAGTAAGATTTCACATTACACCCATCTGTTTCCTCACGCCACGCCCAAGAAACAAACAAACAAATCAATAATGGAAGATTCAAACCTCCTTTGGTACTACAAAATGCATCACCACACTGCTAACTCATGCTTACTGTATCCCCTAAATGAGAACAAACAAGCTTGTTGTAATGGGTTGTTTCTGGCCTTCAGGGAGAAAAAGGAACTCAAGCGATTGATGGATCGAAGGAGAACTGAGAAGATCAACCAGGCCAAAACCAAAGAGAAACACCTTGCACAGGAGTATGACCCTGCCTCAGCCCCTTCTTAAAACTCTCTTATATGCCATGTTTGCTTCCTCTCTACACACATCACAGCTGCCTCTGTCAAAGGTGTGGTAATATTTGCTTTGTTTGCCACTAGGGAGAAGATCGAGATCAACAAGTGCTATGTAAATGAGGTGGTCCAGAACATCAAACGGGTGAGCCTTGGTGAACTATAACTAACTATGGTCTGACATAGGCCAGTGTGATGATGGTGCTGTGTGTTTGTTGTAGTTGGAGGAGGCTCAGGCCAAGCGTGCAGAGCAACTCCAGGAGCAGCACAGAGATCTACTGCAGCAGATCCAGGACCTGAAGCCCAGGGTGAGCCTGTGTCCACACACAAAGACACACTGTGTCTATACTTACAGTAATATTCTATTTTCATTATGACTGTGAAACAAACTTGGAATAAATTTCACAATTAGAAGTTTTGCAGCTAATGGGATTTATTGGAGACATTTCAAAAAGGGGTCTGGATGTACTGATGATGAATTGGATGCTTAGACATTTAAGGTCTTAAAGTCTTTTCTAAAAACATTTTGAAATATCCTCTGAAATTATGATTGCAACTCTAGCTACAAGAGGCGGTGGAAGCTGAGTTTCAGGAGAAGTTTCGTTGCTTGCCGGGAGAGATCCAGGTCTTCCTGCAGGACAGGTCGTCAGAGGTCAGAGGTCACAGCAAATCCAGAGTATCTACCCCTCATGAAACGTTGTCAGAAGAGGACTGAGGAGAATGTAGAGGATTCACCTGTACACATTCTACAATGTTACTGCTATCATTTTAGACACATTTACCATGTTACCCTTTGAGCATTTATGCATGATTTTAGTTTCACTAAAACATGTTTAAAATAAAATATATAATGCATGGACTGCAGCTCTTTTTTGTTGGAGAAGGATGAGAGCAGGTTAGGCTTCTGACATAAGCAGATTTTTTTCACCGGTTGTTGTTTTAGGTTCATTCTAAGGCAGCCTTCTGTATATTTGACTTGTTTAACTTTTTATGTTGGTTCTATGTTCATATTTATTTCCATATTTATTATAGGATAGTGTGCAGTTTTGGAAGTGTTGGAAGTTATTTGCTTCCTTGCAAATGTGAATTCTTTTCTGAGACTTTTTCTTTATACTGTGTTTACAAAATCATGTTAAATGAAGAACTGTTAACTGAAATCAATAAACCTGATATAATAATAGTTTACACCAGGCCACCAGTCTCAGTCTATAACTGAATGATAGTAATTAGAGCTATGTGTAGCTTAATATTGCCGATACATTCCTGGAGCTCTGTGACAAGTTCATTTATGAATGCCGGTGCTGGGGCATATTAAGCAGCTTGGCGAGACAGACTCTGGAATGTAGTCAGGCTAACAATTTAAAGGTGTGCTGCAAAACATTTCACATGATAAACAGACTGTTATCTTCACATAGGCTGTAGAGCCTTCACTTTCCTGCCTCCGTGAAGACGTTGCTGCATTGGTTTAGATTACCTACATGAAATTAAACATTTCTATAAGCCTCTTTTCATTCTATGCCTAATAAGGTTGTATAGCATATAGCTTAATTATGTGTTTTGCCAATTGTGAAATGGCAAAACACGTGTTCAAGCCTCCATTGGCCGCTGGAGGTCACCACAGAGCCGGGCAGCCTCCTGCAGCAGCAGAAGCAGCTCCTCAGCATCAGCACCAGTATCTGTGACTGACGCGTCGTGCTCTTCTCCGCCGCTCTCGCTCCTTTCTAAGAATCCTGTGTCAAACCAGGCGCTATGGATAACTCCGGTAAAGAGAAAGAGGCCATGCAGCTGATGGCTGAGGCTGACAAGAAGGTGAAGGCGTCCGGCTCCTTTCTCGGAGGGATGTTCGGGTAAACGCTCTCTCTGTTTCAGCTGCTGATGGGGGAGGGACGGGCCCCCGTCCTGTATCCTTGGTGGACAAACGCAAGGGCTCGGTTTGCATTAACCCGTGCCTTCCATGTTGTCAGCTTTAGACCGCTTAAGATGGGCTATTTTTGTGATAAATGACAGCGGAACACGCGCGGATGGCCATATAGACGCAACCACTGTGACATTCTGTCCTTCTTGGGCCTCCTCAGTTTTTTCATGCGCCATCAGCTTACAGCACAAGCGACATAGCGCACAACAGGCACAGAGCTCACTGTCACGCACCCATCACAGACTGTTATAGGCTAATGTAGGTGCTGCAGCTTCTGCTGGACCTGGGCTGGAGTGAGGCCGGGGCTGAGCAGTGGGAGGTGTAATGTAATAGGATAGAGGAGCCCTTCACAAAGCAAGAGATTCCAGAGATTATTCTACGCATTATGTGGGCGGATGTTTAGGCTGTTTGATTGTTTATGATCTATTGTATCTATTGCTCAAGTTTAGAGTTTAGGCTGTTGAGTGTTTTTTTTTTTTTTTTTTTTTTGGTTAGATTTGTTTGTTTGTTTGTTTGTTTCCAATGGGCATTAGAACTTCGTGTTTTGCATTGCCCAAATGTTGTGGGACTCTGCAGCCCTTGAATATGAATGTCCAAACCCTTGGGTTTTGGACATTTTGGACAATATGAAGTCTAAAAGACAAAAACTGTCCCTATGGTCCTTACTTTGGCAGAATGTTAAGAATGTAAACACACAAAGGTGACTGAAGCCTAGTGTAGTAATTGTAAACAAGCTGATGTAACCTAGTTCAGTGCCTCACTTGAGGGATATTTAGCACATAGCTTATGACAGAAATAACCTGCACTTCTGGACCCTCAGACCCAGAAAACTGCTTCTGTCTGAAGTGGAGATGTTCTGGTGATGAAAGCTGTATGTTGCAGGGGGAACCACAAGGTGGAGGATGCATGTGAGATGTACGCCCGAGCTGCCAACATGTTCAAGATGGCCAAGAACTGGAGTGGTGGGTGCACACATTAATTGTAGTAATGATGCTCCTGCACACTTCTTCACGTTCAAGATATACTCTTACTGTTTTGTCCTGATGTGCCTTGTGTAAGTTTGTGTATGTTTGTGTGTACAGCGGCAGGAAATGCCTTCTGTCAAGCTGCTCGACTACACATGCAGCTGCAGAACAAACTGGACTCTGCCACCAGCTTTGTGGATGCAGGGAATGCCTACAAGAAGGCTGACCCTCAGGGTGAGCATCATGACTTTAATCTAAGCACAACCCATGTAGCAAAGGCAGTGGGGGGAGTCAAGTCTGATTTTGTATTTTGTTTTTACCAGTAAATCCTAGGTGCTAGGAAGGCATAAGAGGTACACATTATCAAAATTACCCAAAAGCACTAGTGAATGGTGGCACCCTCTCCACAATGACAGAAAGTCCCTGCCTCTGGTAAATGAGGTTCTTAAGTTTTTACAGAGTTCATTGATGAGGGAAGGTAAGAGCAGATTAGTGTAGTCTAGTGAAGGACATAAACTTAAAATGTTCTTGGTTACATTTATCACTTCATCTTTAATTCTTACACTTAAAATTACAAGTCACTAAAATTAGCACTAAAGCACTGAACAGCTGCAGGGATGTTATGACATTGTTCATGAACATGTACTTGGCTACTGATGCCCTGGAGTTAAACAAATAACTAATTTGCTCTGCTCTCTATCCTTTGGCAGAGGCTATCAACTGTCTGAACCAGGCCATTGACATCTACACGGACATGGTGCCTTTATAACTCTCTGTATCTGTGTTCTCCATGTGTTCCTCCTGTGTTCTTTATGTGTCATTCACGTGTTCTTCATGTATTGTTCAGATGTTCTTTACACATTCTTCATATGTTTATATGTTCTTCATGTGTTGTTCACAGGTTCTTCATGTGTCTTCATATGTTTCATGTTTACCTCTGCGTGCTTCATGTGTTCTTGTTTTCCTCATGTGTTCTTCATGTGTTCATGTTCCTCCTGTGTTGTTCACATGCTCCTCCTGTGTTCTGTGCATCTTCACATTTTATAGAAGCCTATTGGTGTATGTGCATTTTTATCTTTAATATTTTTCTTTATTTGTTCTTATGCTTCAGGGAAGGTTCACCATCGCAGCCAAACATCACATCACCATTGCAGAGATTTATGAGTCAGAGTTGGTAGATATTGAAAAGGTGAGCCACAGACTTCCTACCTTAACTCACAGCCTTGGTATGTGACAATATAAACACATTAGTTTGTTTCCAGGCCATTGCCCACTATGAACAGGCAGCAGACTATTACAAGGGCGAGGAATCTAACAGGTAGTCCAGCATGTTCTGTCAAGAGGATGTGTCTTGTATATGTGTCTTGTGTACACATTGTATACGATATACTCAGTGCTACTGAAAGTGCTACTTTCTCAAATGTGACTTTTTTCAGTTCTGCCAACAAGTGTCTGCTGAAGGTGGGCCACTACAGTGCCCAGCTGGAACAGTACCAGAAGGCCATTGAAATCTATGAACAGGTATTCTGCCTATATTTAATACATTATTTTAATTATAGATATTATTTTAATAATAATTCAGTTTAGTGATGGCATGTTTTGTTTTGTGCTTAAGGTGGCCATGAGCACTATGGACAACCCATTGCTTAAGTATAATGCGAAAGAGTACTTCTTCAAGGCATCTCTGTGTCATTTCATTGTGGATGAGCTTAATGCTAAGGTACATCTGCTTTTAATGACATATGCTGAGTCAAACAAACCTGAAGTGGTGATACTAAAACTTTTTCATAGAAGAAACACTTTTAACAATGCTATAATGCCCTAGTGCAGTGCTTCTCAATTATTTTCTGTCATGCCCCCCCTAGGAAGAATAAAACATCTCACAGTGAAGCCAAGCGCTACATACGCTTCGTCATATTTCCTCGTCTTAGCTTTCGTGAGATTTTCGTTTGTCTCTTTATCTCCGTCTCTCCCCGTCTGTCTTCTCATCCCTGTTAAATATTTTTTCATGGTGTCACTTGAGGGTCTGCTACACTTCGTGTCTACACTTCATACTCAAACTCTGTGCTGTGCAAAGCGCGCATGCTCAGTGCAAACAAAACTCCTACACCACCGAGCGAATGCTCCCTGCGCACACTCTGCCAATGAGAGCGCCACTGCCCCCTAATGTAGTGGAAGTGCAATTGCACTTTATTCTAGGACAGTAAAAAAAAGCATGTTCCCCGAGGTCAAACGCGCCCCCCTTGACGGAGCCTCGCGCCCCCCCAGGGGGGCCCGCCCCACTATTTGAGAAGCACTACCCTAGTGTAACTGATGCATATCCAGTTCATTCAGTTCTGCTGCTCTGCTCTGTGTTGTTAAACTGAAGTCTTATTAAGTGAAGTGAAGAGAAAGAGAAAAAGCTGATATCCCACACAACATGTCTTCTTTGAGTCACTGAACTGCATGATTTGAAAGTTACACTGAATATTTTGTGTGTGGTTGCAGCTGGCAATTGAGAAGTATGAGGAAATGTTCCCAGCATTCACAGACTCCAGAGAGCTCAAACTCTTAAAGGTATCACATTTTCATTTTTACCTCTTGAACACATCTTGACATGAAACAGGATAAAACAATAGTCAGTAGGGACAGTAGTTCACTGACTGGAGTAAAATGCTGTTGGCATAGAATAACTTTGGATTTGCCGTCTATATTATTTGTGTAATAAACCTGTGCAAAGCATGGCCGCCAAAACACCTCATGTCAACAGTGTCCAGATGACTACTTCTGAAACTTTTTCTACCTTGCATTTTGTCTGTTCGCAGAAATTGCTGGAGGCTCACGAGGAGCAGAACAGCGAGGCTTTCACAGAAGCAGTTAAAGAGTTTGACTCAGTTTCTCGTCTGGACCAGTGGCTCACCACAATGCTGCTGCGAATCAAAAAGACCATCCAGGGTGACGCTGGTGACCTCAAATAAACAAGCATCATGTACCCAAGTTTATGTGGGAAGGGGGCATCTACAGCTGTACATATCAGTGCATGTCAACCCAGTGAGTCACATCACATCATCCGCCCCAGTCCTCCAACTCAACAGTATTGCTCTAAAGACTGGACAGCTTGGACTGTCAGTGCGTTTGTGTCAGATAAATACTTGATGGTAAAATGTATATGATCTATTTCTGGACATATTTGTGTTATTGAAAATACTTTATGAAATTGTTATTTAGTGTAAGAAATATATTATATAGTATTCTTTTTTGTTTATTCTGGTGCTGAATATTAGAAGTTGTGAGCCCTCTTTTTCATGTCTTCCTTACAAAGAAACCCCTCTCACCCGTCTACAGCTGTGATTGGCTGGCTCTGTGTGTCAGTGGGAGTAGGTGACAGAGTGACTCCTACCATGTCTGTGCATGTCTATTGTCATGTTCTTGTTCTTCTTGTATTATCAGCAGCAGCACATGTGAACTGTAAGGTATCTGTAGTCAGTAAATGTTACAATAAAAGCACCACTCACTCACTATTTAGCAATATGCAGTTCTCATTCTCTTAAGCACAGATGCAAAAAAGACAAAGCAGGAAATTCAGAGCCGCTCAACATAATGGGCCTATATATATGTGAATCATAAATGTGATTAATCTCAAAATCTTTCTCTTTTTCTGGTCTTTCTACTGCAATATACATGAAGAGAGAGAAAATACATGAAACCATCCTATTTAAAGCAAAGAAAGAGTAGGCTATGTGTAAAAATCCTGAATTATCTACACTAGAGTGCCTACATCAGAGCAATCTTCAAATTTGGAGAGATTTAAGGTTAGGTTTGGGTTAGGGTTTGGTAATGGTTTGCTTTGTAAAGAAAGTACAAATGGGGTCATTGGTGGCTAGAGAAATTATTATCAGTAGGTGGCGGTACTGCACTCTTCGCTAACTACACAACCGGTGACTACACAACCCATAATACATTGCGTCGTTAACAGTTTCCGGTATTTTGTGCACGTTCACTCGTCTAACGCAGTCCTCTATCTGCTAGGCTTTCGCATCTGTTTTTGTAACAGTCCAAACAAGGGAACTTATTACTTGTTGTTTTTTATCTATAGGGTGCCTAAACATTTTCAAAGATGCCACGAATTATGATAAAAGGAGGCGTTTGGCGGAATACCGAGGTGTGTATGTCTAATCCAACAGCACAATGCTAACGTTTACAATGAAATCTATAGGTTTACGTTAGCTTATTGCTAATTACGTATTATATGTGCCTAGGTAGTATGTAGACTTGCATGCACATATAAATATTAACTTAATCCATATTTACACAATATTGTGACCACACAGTGAGCCCGTTTGTGGTAGCTACAAGCCTAGAACGATACATTCCACGCAGCGCGCGTGGAGCAACACACATGAAGTTTGGTTTTGTTAAAAAACAATGCATTTATTATAATTTCCTCAGGATGAGATCCTCAAGGCGGCGGTGATGAAATATGGGAAAAATCAGTGGTCTCGTATTGCTTCGCTCCTACATCGCAAGTCCGCCAAACAGTGTAAAGCCAGATGGTGAGTCTCACTTGGTTTTATTGGGTTGATCACAATTTATTAGAATTGTTTGTGCTTTTAGGCTATTATAATCTATCCATAATCGGTTGTTGTAAAACAGGAATATTTTTGGACTATGATGTTTGTACATCTGACATAATTTATGATTTATAGAGAGGGTAGGGAGAAAGTCACACACAGTTCTATGGTGAGTGTTTGCCTTGCCTCTGAAAAGGAGAAGAAAAAAGCTTAGTTGATAAGAAATAAATAAAATAACATAAGGAGCATCATTTACCCTTTCTTTTCTTCACATCACTTAAGTTGAAAATTGACAGAATATTATTGAATCATTTGCTGTGTCATAAGGGTTTAAGGTAGAATAAAAAATAAATTAAAAAAACAATAGTAACATTAGCTATGTTTTATGGTTACGAGAACATTGGATTTGGTCAACATCTAGGAGACAGAGCTTTGAAGAAAGTTATGTCTGATTTATGCGTTTAATTTGTATGCCGGGTTCAAATGGGAGATTGTTTTGAGAGTGGTGCTTATTATACACCCAATCTGTGTGTGTTCATGTGCTTTTGGACAGATGCTGACTGATCTGTTTGTGACTAAATATTCAATACTAGATATTTTGAACAGAAACTATTGCCTTCAGCACCCTAAACCTAATGTTCACGTGATACAAAGTATCTTGCAGAGTTATTGTTCATTGATCATCAGTCACTGATTCCCACCAATCAGTGCACCTGACATCATAACTGGGGTTGTTTGTGCTACCTCCAGAATTTCTATTGCTTTGATTTGGTGCAGTGTTCATGTGCAACTTCCACTCAGAAAGCTGTATTTACAATTTATCCAACACCACATGAAACCAGCATGTTCCTGTTTGCTGTTTGTAACTTTGTTGGTCTTGGTCTCTGTTAGGTACGAATGGTTGGACCCAAGCATCAAGAAAACGGAATGGTCTAGAGAAGAAGAGGAGAAGCTGCTGCATTTGGCCAAATTGATGCCAACTCAGTGGAGGACCATTGCTCCCATCATAGGACGCACAGCTGCTCAATGTTTGGAGCACTACGAATATCTGCTGTAAGTTCATGCTTTGTGCACCCAACAAGTGCACACTATAGCAGTCCTTTTGACATGTGTACATTTTCAGAGACAAAGCTGCACAGAGAGATAATGAGGAAGAGGTGGGTGATGACCCCAGGAAGTTAAAACCGGGAGAGATTGACCCCAATCCTGAGACTAAACCTGCTAGGCCTGACCCTGTTGATATGGATGAAGGTAGGAGTTTTTTTCTGGACCACCTTTTTGATTTATCAGCCCCCAGTCTTTAATTGTTTTTTTGTGATTGTGTGTCAACAGACTGCAGGTTATTATAATCTATAATAAGGTTATTTATTTATATATTAAGAAAAAATCTATCAACAATCAACGGCATAAATAAATATATAAATATAAATAAAATAAAAAAAATATATATATACATATATATACACACACACACACATATATAATATAGGGTTTGTGTAGTATGCAAGTAAAATGAAATGTGTCCATATATTTTGTCAGATGAGTTGGAGATGCTCTCAGAGGCTCGAGCTCGTCTGGCCAACACTCAGGGTAAAAAGGCCAAAAGGAAGGCCAGAGAAAAGCAGCTGGAAGAAGCTCGGTCAGTAATCTGTGATCTCATACCTCAGCCGTTGCCCTCTGAAATTATGTCTAACTGTTTAATGTGTTTCGTTTCAGACGACTGGCAGCTCTGCAGAAACGCAGGGAGTTGAGAGCAGCAGGAATTCGCATTAACAAGAAAAGGAAGAAGAAAAGGGGGGTGGACTACAATGCAGAGATCCCTTTTGAGAAGAAACCTGCTCCGGTAAAAAGAAATTCTAAAATAATGATACAGTAAAATGTATGTTTTGTTCTAGCAATCATATTGATGATATCACACTATATTTTCCAAGAAATCTCATTGTTATTTATTTTTTATTTACGGCTTTGTTCTTTTTTCATTTGGGTTCTGTATGTTTTCTAAGAAGGATTAGCTGGAACTATGTTTTATTTGCTTTGCTTTTTTAAATTATTGTACTTTACATTTTATTTTGCATATTTAGTCCCTCAAAATTATGTTTAGGAATTTAAATGAAAACCTGTAATATACCTGCAATCCAAATGAATAATATAAAACTGCTAAATTAATATTATAAGAAAAATAGTATAGTAATTCTAAATAATGAAAATAAAATTTAAACCAATAATATTGAATGTGATAAATGAATATGATAATAAAAAAGAAAGAAAGATATAAGATTTATGCATGTTCAAAAGATTTATAGATAAAATAAAATATTCTGAGAAAGAAAACTATATATGGACTTGAAAACATGTATGGATAAAATTATTTTGTAATTATGATGTACACTGGGTCACCTTAAGAAAACAGAAAATTACAACAACAACAAGAAAATGTAGAATGTAGAGACATGAATAGTTGGCACTTAATACTGAGTAAATGTTTGGACACATCAGATTTTTTACCTGCTGTAAATGTAATTGTAATGCACAAATTGCTTTATTTACAATGAATAACCCATGGAAAATGCACTTACAAGATAATTGTAATTGAGCAGCCTTCTTCTGGAACTGATGAGTGTTTTTCTTGATAAACTTAAGGGCTTTTACGACACGAGTATGGAAAACTTTGAGGCCATGGAGCCCGACTTCAAACGTCTGCGACAGCAGCACTTGGACGGAGAACTGCGCAAGTATGTTCAAATGAACACATTTTAACTGACAGCTAATGTAATGCCGAAGTTGTTACTACCAGGGGAATAACACTGTAAGATTATTTTTTTCTCTATTCCAGCGAGCGAGAGGAGCATGAACGGAAGAGAGACAAACAGAAGATAAAGAAGAAGAAAGAGAGTGACCTTCCCTCTGCCATCCTTCAGACCAGTGGAGTGGCTGAATTCACTAAAAAACGTTCCAAACTAGTTTTGCCTGCACCACAGGTTATAAATGGTGTAAATGAATGTATGTGCCCATTGCACAGACTAGTAATTTAAGATGTTTTTTTTTTTTTTTTGTGGACAGATCAGTGATGCAGAGCTGGAGGAGGTGGTGAAGATGGGCGTGGCTAGTGAGGTAGCGCGCCAGGCGGCAGAGGAGAGTGACAGTGGTAATGCTGCATCATCGACTCTGCTGTCTGAGTACAGTGTGACCAATGCTGTTGGCACTGGGCTCCGGACACCGAGGACCCCTGCTGCCCAGGATCGCATACTACAGGTACCCCAAATCTATTCCCTCTGTAAAAGAGGGAAAGGGATTTGTATTAACTATTCTAAAAAGCATCTTTCAAATAGTCTTTTTGACCCTTAGTTTTGAGGGGATGAGAAGATTATTTCACACTTCTAGGATCTGAGCTGTACAAAAAAGGCAATGTGAGTGCCATAGACACAGTGGCATAATGCCCGTGTGGCTGTCACAAACATTTGGTTAATGGGCAATTGTCTGATGTTCATCTGATTTTAGGCCATTTTTGCAGGTTATTTTAAATTTCGGTAAACACCATGTCACTGTTTTATTCCTTTAAGTAGGCAACCATGCCCCCTGGGGGTGATTTACATATGTTGCTCCACTTTACTAAACAAAGAACTGGATTGACTATATTATGTGTAGTATAACACTGAAATGTATAGTGTAACACTGAGAATGTGATTGTGAAGTGCCACAGTTGGTTGTAAATCACTGATAGTAGTTTATCGAAACATATTTCCACTGACTGCACATCAGCTTCTAATTAAATTTAGCTAAAATGTTGTGGACGTGTTAACAGAAAAAATTTATGGGTAAGCAGCAGCTCTTCTCTTAACATTCATGGTTAGAAAACATTACTGGGTAATAAAGTACAATTTTCACTCAGGGTCTCATGTGTTGCTGTTGTGTACTACAGGAAGCTCAGAATCTGATGGCTTTAACCAACATTGACACACCTCTGAAGGGAGGGCTCAACACCCCTCTGCATGAGAGTGACTTTAGTGGAGTGACCCCCCAGAGACAGACCGTCCAGACCCCCAACACAGTGCTCAGTACCCCCTTCAGGTGAGAATTAGTTGCCTCTCTTTGCATAAACAGATTGAAATACATAGGTTCATGACAACATTATTCACTTGGCCAAATCTCTTTTTGTGTGGCTTTAACCATTTGTTAACAACACCTGTGGCTTGTACAGAACCCCAGGACCAGGCCAGGGGTCAGAGGGCATGACTCCTCAGGCTGGAGGTGCAATGACTCCCCGTGGGGCTGTAACCCCAGGACTGACTCCAGGACGCACACCCCTTAGGGACAAACTTAACATCAACAGTGAGGAGCAGCTGTCAGACCCTGCCTTCACCAAGCATGCGGTAAACTTTCATAACGGAATCTGAGATTTATTAAGCTCAACATAGCTTTGTCATATTGCTGATGATACTGTATGTATATATAGTGTAGAAATGTTTCTATGTTTTCTATATAGCAGTTGGGGAAATGTGAACTTTCTAACTTAATGTAAAAACTGTACAGTGTAAGTAATTACCTACTATATTTTGTGTGACAGCAAAGAGAAAGCCTGCAGCAGCTGAGACAGGGTCTGATGTCACTTCCTGTCCCAAAGAACGACTTTGAGATTGTTCTTCCCGAAAATGCTGAGAAAGAGCTGGAGGAAACAGAAACAGAGACTGGATTCATTGAAGATTCAGCTGATGTGGAAGCACGCAAACAGGTACTGCCTGACAGATTGCAGGTACAACGCTGTGTGTGTGACATCTGTCATAAAGTCTTACGTGTGCCTAGGCTGTTCGAGAGGCCGAGCGGCAAAAGGAGCTGAAGCTGCGGCACACCTCTGTGCAAAGGGACCTCCCAAGACCTACTGAGGTAACACAAATGTGCACCTACAAAAGCACTAGCATTCACTTCAGATTGCTGCTTATTAACACATCTAATGCGATTTGTACAGGTAAACGAGTCAGTACTGCGTCCCCCCTCCATGGAGGCCCTCTTGGACTTGCAACTGGCCGAAGAGCTCATTAAACAGGAAATGATCACTATGTTGCACTATGATTGTCTTCATCATCCTGCAGCCAATGCAGCCAGCCAGTTACAGCGCAGCAAAGGCAAAGGTCCTGCCTCCACCTCAAACAACGCATCACATATTACTTACTTGGAAAGTCACCAATATAAACCTCTGAGTCCTGAAGACATGGAACAGGTTTGTATGCATTGTTAAATAACTGAATGTGATGATTTATACTGCTCATTCAGATAAAAATTGACTTATAAGAGTATATGTGGCTGTATAATGTTGCAGGCCAAAACTCTTCTGTCTGCTGAAATGGAGGTGGTGAAAGCAGGAATGGGCCATGGTGAGCTCAGTATGGAGGCCTACAGCCAGGTGTGGGAGGAGTGCTATGGACAGGTAACTCTCTGCTCTTTTGCGTCTTCTACAGGACATCATTCAGATCAGACAACAATGAAATATGACTTAATGTTCTCTCCAGGTGTTGTACCTTCCAGTTCAAAACAGGTACACCCGAGCTAACCTGGCGTCTAAGAAAGATCGAATTGAAAGCTTGGAGAAAAGACTAGAGGTATAGCTCCCAGTGTTGGCTGTAGATTTTTGTCACAAACTCATCTATAAGCATTTCATGTGTCCTCAGGTAAACCGTGGTCACATGACTGCAGAAGCTCGGCGAGCAGCTAAACTAGAGAAGAAACTCAAAATCCTTTTGGGAGGATTCCAGTCTCGAGCACTAGGGCTCCTCAAGCAGCACAATGACCTATGGGAACAGGTGTGCCCTCAACACACAACTATGGACCAGTTTGCATATTGGTCAATCTATCTTTGGTGAAATATTATGAGCAACATTTGAAGATAAGCAGATTGTTAGTTTTGGGGGTTTCCATAGCGTTGTTGAATTTTGTATGTAGCTATTGAATAAAATACAGCAAAAATGGAGCCCACTTAAAATGCAAAAAGCAAAGCATGCTTTCTAAATGGTGAAACAAGTGTAATGAGGAAAGATTTGTTAGGTTGAAAGTGTTTGGTGTCTCCAATGTATCCACCAGTAAAATAAGTCGCCGAGAGAAAAGGAATGGCAAACGCAGTGTTGGGATAGTTTTACACTTGGCAGATAATGACTTGTGCACATGTATTCTCAGGTGGAGCAGGCAGCCACAGAGCTTCAGACATTCACTCAGCTCAAGACACAAGAAGATACAGCCATTCCCCGAAGATTGGAGGTACTGTGAGCCCTCCTTCATTCATTCTGGTAATAGAAGCCCTTACAAAACGTAATTGTTTTTTTCAGGCACTGCGAGAAGATGTCGAGAGACAGATGGAGCGAGAAAAAGAACTGCAGCACAGATACGGAGAGCTCCTGTTGGAGAGAGAGGCTTTAATGAACAGTGGCCACAAGTTCTGAGGCTTCTTGGACAGCACATAACCATATACTTGTAAACAGCCAGCCATGTCTCACTCGTCACAGTGAAGAAAATAATGTGGAGTCATATGAAATGTGTACATGCAAACGTAAGAATAATCCTCATGATCAAAGCAGATCATTCAGTTCTATTGTCAAATCTGGGAGCTGCCAAGTGGTGTACATGCAGGTCTTCTCCTTTACAACCAACTTCACTTTGAATTAATGTTTTGTTCTTGTGTAATATCCAATAAAGTTGTAAGAACAGTATTTTGTCAATACAAATAATTAAACATTTTATGAATTCAAACTTTATTTCAATGTAAGAAATGTACAATTATTTTAGCAAACAAAAAGAGCCATTCCATTCCTCCCACAGGCACTCTGTAAAAGAGGGAAAGGGATTAGTATTAGCAATATTAAAATCCACTCTATATATTTAAACCATAAAACTAAGTTACTTGTGAGGTTTAGATACCAGCTCTTCTAATATAGAAAATTACACATTGCAGTACAAACAGCAAATATTTGCTTGTCTTAATCTATTTTAGGTGGTGAGTAGGTACCATGTGTCTGTAGTTGTACCGCCGAATGGCCTCTCTGATGTGGCAGGGCTGTAGAGCTCCAGTCGGTGGGTCTGCTGCAACTGGACAGCTCTGAAATCATAATAAATATTTACAATTTGCCCCAAAGCCAAAACATTCTGCATTACATTTGTCGCAAATTATAGTCATAAACACAAAAAAGTGTTGTTTTTACCAGCACTGCAAAAAAACAAACCTTTTTACGTTTCCTCTGCCTCGTGCGTCCGTCCAGGCTTCCATTGCCCTGCGACAGAGACTTCGTGGAGTGGGAGGAGCCAGGGGTGGATGGGGGTGTGGCTTCAGGTGAATCTGGATCTTTCTTCACCTAAGAATTAATTATTTATTTATTTAAATTCACAGACAACCATTAATGTTGGTGTGTGGGAGGACAAGGGGCACTAAGATGACTACCTCGTGTGGGGGTTGGTATTGAATGTAGCTTGCACTGATCACATGACTGACAGCATCGATCTTTGCTGTCATTTCTTGCCTCACCAAAAGAGCCAGGTCCACAATCTAAAAAGAAAAAGAAAATTTTCACACAAATGCCGCACTAACAACGCTTAAGTTTGTTAATAAAATAATTTCAAATGGTCAGGGATCAGCTTTGGACTTTTTAATTGCAAATCCTTTGGCCTAGTTTGTACACTGGAGATATAAATTAGATGTTTCTGTGTGTATAATGTCACTGGAGTGGAAAGCATAAATGTGTTGTTTAATTTTGTTATTTAATTAACATTTTATTCCAATCAAATTCAAAACCACTTTTTTTTTTCCTTCATACTACCAAGCACTACCTTCGGTACTTACAGAATGGTCAGCATTGGGCTACACTGCACAGTTTAATGGGAACAGCCAGAAGATGTGACCCAGAGTGTTTCTGCTGCTTTTTAAAGTGTTGTAATCATCGTATCTCAATCAGATATGTGTGTTTATTTTAATCTGCACTCTCTGTTCTAGGTGGGATTTTTGTTTTGTTTTTTTACCTGTGCAACTGTTTCATAGGCCAAGTAGGACAGTATTTCCATGGCAACAGTGTTGGGCTTCAGCTCCAAGCTGCTGCAGTCCAACCAGTCCCGAAACTTTGAGGCTTTTTTTGCTTGAGTCATTTAAATACAGAAATGTTGGGATTAATATTCAGTGAGTGTTGCCATGACCATCTGTATATACAAGAAAAATGAACTGCAAAAAGCTTCAGACATATCCAATATTGTGCTTTTTATTATGTGCTAAAACCTCACCAAAAGTGAGCTGACGGCTCTCGCAGAACTCTGAATACTGGGTCTGGTCCATGTTTCGGGTTTGCCGCTCTAAACGCTGGAACATCACAGACACTGTTAGCACATAAAGCTGCAGTTCACATGGACCAGAACCTCCAGCTGAGTCCTGACCTCCATACGCTCCTGTTTGACCGGGTCCAGCTCAGATTTCTCTGCCAGAGCCAACAGCTCTCCAGTCTGGTCCATCCACAGCAGGTAGTCCTGGGCCAACCGCTGCCTCCGCTGGGCCCCACCTGAGGAAATGGAGCTCCACCTGTCTGCACCAGCACACTTAAATCTTTAACTTTAACCTCATTTAACATTTAACAGATTTTAACCTCTGAACCCAGTCATATCCTACCTGTATCTGTCTGTGGCTCATCATCATCCAAACTTTTCATAAGCTTTGATTTATAATCTCTGAACTGGAGGTATTTTAATAACCTTGCCACCTTTCTCTGAAATACAAACCAATAACAATTTTTTAAAAGCACTTAAGTTTTAGCAAACAGATAGTTTTGTTTACCTTATCTCTTCTCATCACAAATATAATGTCCTCCGCTGAAATGACCCTTGACCCCCGCAGAGTTGCTGCCTCACTGGCCAAATGCAGCTGAAAACATTTTTTTTTATTAGATTTGCATTATTTTTATGTTTAAAAAGACAAATTCATCTGTTAGACTCTCAGGTTTTTGTGAATAATTGTAATTATTGAACCACATCTAAGCGGACAATGATGTCTAAAATCTAAATTACTAGTATATTTTTAATCACTCAAGTTTGATTTTTTTTAGCACTGAAACAACATAAACATGTGGAAGATGGGGAATGTGTGAAGGAGGGCATCAATGTTAAGCTCAGTTTTAGCAGTGCATACCAAAGTGACAAGCTGAGAGTGAACAATGTCCTCCATCAAAGCAGCTGTTTCCTGAAGTGGTCTGCGAGCATCACCCAGTGCAAACCTGCAAATAAATACTAACAAGTTTAGTTGTTCTGTCACACTGTCAAAGCTCATGCAGCCCCAAATTATAAATCACACATACCAGAATTAAAAAAAACATGATTTCAATCTGCACTCGCAAATAAGCAAATAGACAAATTGTGCCTCTGTTTGCTAAAGTTTGCTTAATTCTAAAATGGATGTTTCTCAAGGTCCTGCTGCAAGGTGTGCGTGCGTGTGCCTGTGCGTGTGCGTGTGCATGTGTCTGTGTGAATACCATGTCATCAGGTTTTGTCACTGGATGTTGTGGAGTCAGACAAAAGCACAGGAGGTGAGGCTGAGAGCTGACCACACTGGGTCTGACCAGCATTTGCATCTAGAAAAGCCACTTCCAGGACAGTACTGCACACAGAAGCCACATCCTGGGGCCATTTCCCCTCTCATTTCTTTTGTGACAATAAGCTCCCGGCCATGCCCCAAACCAAGTTAGTGTCACAGCCATCACAACAGCCGTGATTGGTTAAAAGTCCCATCAGGAAAGTAGTTTCTCTCTGTTGGGCTGTGGTCTGCCCAGTCTTGGGGTCAGTTTGGTTTGAGCAGCTCTGACCACGACCAATAAGTCTGCACTGACTGGGTAAGTACCACACACAGACTGCTTTATTTTTACACACACCTCTATTTCTCTGCTAGAACCTTTGGCACATTTGAGTAACAACAAGTGAGCAAAAATATTTGGAAAAAGTCAGGTTTATTTAGTATATTTTATTCTAATTGTATCCACTTTAAGTAAATCCTTTTAGGTAGGTCTGTCACAATAATTATTATATTGACTTACTGTTCAATATATGAAACCTGAAACAATATATTTATTTATCAGGTGTATGTTTTTTGTCATTTTTGTAATACAATAAGATTTCAGCTGTAAAGGGCTGATTAAATAACTTCTATGGCTTTTGGTTCAAATGGCTTATGGCTATTGGTTCATTCTGCTATTTATTTGTTGAAACTCAGGCCCTGATACTCTTGAAACCTGTTTTGTGTCAGTGACATAAAGTAGTTTTAATATAATCATTTATCGCATTTCTCTGTGGCAATAGTGCATCAAAATTGGTTATCATGACAGGCCTATTTTACTCTCTACTGCTGCTTTCATTTGCCAAAATAATCTCAGCATCTCCCCCAGCTGCTGTAGGGGTTGTAAGTAAACACAAGGATCTGAGGTCACCCCAGCAGTATGTCTTCAAGATCCTCGCATTTAGGGCTCTATTCTGAACTGTCATCTGGAATGGCCAGGACAAGACTATAATTTGGTGCCATGTACATATTTTTCATATGGATTTAAATCATTCCACGCTGCACATTTTGATAAATCATGTGCATTATTATTTGTTGATGGGTCATTACATAAATCATTGCCTTTATAAAGTAGTACATCAAGTTCTCATTCTTGTTGGTGTACTCACATTCTGGTCTACTGTTTCCAATTTAGGTACTTTCTATTGCATACAACTTGCCATGGCATCAAACAGTTTGTTCGGCTCCACTCTGTTCTGGGGTAAGTTCAAACTACTGTACTGAGGTGTACTGTAGTGCAGTGTCCTGAGTAGTACTGTGGAATACTTTGTTTGTGGTGTACGGCTGTGGTGTACTTACATCATGCTCTGGAGCTCTGGGATGAAGCTGCTTCTGGAGGCTCCTCGTTCTTTGGACCCGACCATGGGACTGCTCATATTCTGCACAATGTATTATCATATTATATTATGATATCACATACAAATTATATATCATTATATATCACCATCCAGTTAAACATATCATTTTTTCAGGCTGTAAATCAGCAAGGGTCAGAATAAAAGGAATAAGGGACCAGTAGCATGTTGTAGATATGTAAACAGGTGGTAAAACATAGATCTATGGGTAAAACCACAGCAACTTCCTCCTGTCCCAATATGAATGATAATGGCCTTACCCTCCTTGTATTCAAAGGTTGTGGCGAGTTGAACACAAAACAATCTCCAAACAAAGAGCCTACACGGGTCCGGGCTCTCTGACCTGTTTTATGTGACTGCTAACAACCATAGACTTTATGCTAACAACTCTGCTCCACATGGGCTCCTGTTTTGATCCTGTTCTTGGTTTTTTGTTGTTTTTTTTTCCTTATCGTCTCAGCGCGATTTGATGACGTATGTAATATGTACACCATGAAGTACTATAATCATGGATCTGTTAAAGTAACCATGATGTACACATGGTTGGTTGGGATGTAAAAGTGTCAGTTTCCCTCAATGACACACTGGTAACTGTACTTCTACACGATGGGGCTGTTCGATACTACGACACACCTCATAAAGCAGAGCACCACAACCACCAGGGCAGCTGGGACACACTGATAGAACAGCGCTCTCTGGTGGCTGTAAGTTGAACTGCGATCACCTTATCGAATGTACGCACTGGAAGCACAAACAGCACCGGCTAAAAAAGATAACATTTTAGAGCTCAGTATATTTTATTATTTCGGTTTATGTTTTTGGAACGATTGCCCTGTGTGTATTTTAAAGGGGCACCCTGTAACTTTTTGGTGAGAGTCCGCCACCTAATCCATGGATATGGTATGTTGGAATGGTCCTTATTAACATGTAATTTAAAATAGATGCATTTATTGTCACATTGCAGAACATTCCAGGCAAAGCAATATAGCAATAAAACATCAAAGAGCATAAGAGTTCAAGTCACGCAGACAAAAATAAACGCATTTGAACAAAGTCATATTTCTTTAAAAAACAACTTTTTTTTTCTTCTTCATTACCTACAGAATAACATATCATAAAATTCACATTACAGAAATGAACTGATCTGATTGTGTCTGTCAGGGGCAGCTGCAGAGTTCTCCTGGACTGAAGCAAGTGCTGCAAGGCCCAACAAAGCTGCGGTGGACAGTCGAACTCTCCATGGTACTCTCTCTCTCAATCTCTCTCTCTCTCTCTCACACACACACACCCCAACACACAAACACACACCCCTACACACACGCGCGCGCGCACACACACCTATTTGTAAGCAAACAATTTCCTTTTGCACTTGGGACTAGTACATTTGTGTGAGACACAGCAGGACTGTAGTAAGGCTGTTTAACCCTGACTCAGCGACAGAACTGCCACTCCTAATCATAATCAGTTGTATCATAATAATAATCCATTTTACAAAAATGTGCTTGTTACTTATTAGTAATTATTAGTTAGCACTTAGCCATTTTGCAATATCTCGTGATCTTTTCTAGTTTTACATCTGTATGTCATTTTTAGAGGCTGTGATGAAGCGCCTGTCTCCACCTCCTCATGCGGTCAGAGATCCAGGGAAGGCCCAGTACCTGCGCAGCACAGCTCCCTCTAGAGGTCTGGTACAGACGGACAGCCCAAACTTCTTGTGCAGCGGCCTTCCCCAGCACTGGAGATGTAACAAGAGCCTCCCCAGGACATTCACAGTAAGAGCAGCCAGAGTGAGAGGCTGATGTCACGGTTCTGTGTTAGACGCTGTGCTCTGTTCTCCAGGTGGTGGCGTTAGGGACTGATGTGCCCGATGGTGTGGTTGTTACACTCATGGCAGGTAATGATGACAACTACAGTGCTGAACTTCGCAATGCCACAACAACCATGAAGCATGGCTCTGCCCATTTCACTGATCTGCGCTTCCTTGGCCGAAGTGGTCGAGGTCTGATTCTTTCTTCTTCCTGGTAACTGATTTTAATTCACTCTTCTCAGTGCTTATTACATTTTTCAGGTAAGAGCTTCACTCTGTCCATCAACGTTTTGACCACACCTCCTCAAATCGTCACTATCCAGAGAGCCATCAAAGTGACAGTGGACGGCCCTCGGCTGCCCCGGCGTCTGTATTCCTTTCACTGAACATAGAGCATGTGTAGTTCTTTTCATGGTTTACTGAGCACCTCTGTGTGTCCTTTAGGGCAGAGGCAGAGAGAGGTGAGGTCAGCAGTGATCCGAGTGCCTCACAGCCGCAGCTCTTCCTCAGGTATGTCTCCACCTCAATTTTACAATCACACATTTTACTCTTGTTAAGACTTGTTTCTCATGTATCCTCCAGCAGAGTGTAAGGCCTACTCATCTACAATCTGGACCAATGAGCCATCATTTCTGGGTCACATGACATCTCTGAGTTCCTCTCTGTCCCAGCACCTGCCACATGCCTACACTCCTGCTACTGCAGCGTATGGCTCTTACCTTCCCCCACCACAGCCACCTCCCCTAAGCCACAGTGGCTCTTTTTATTATGGAGCAAACCAGCAGCTCCATGGGCCAGGGGATGAGCGAGGCATGGTCAACACACTAACCAATTACATTGAAGGAGCATGTCTTTCTGTCAGAGGAGAGGAGCCTGTCTGGAGACCCTACTGAAAAAAGTTTTTCTGAAACTCAATTTTTTTTTTGTACAAAACAAATAATATTAAAGGTAATAGGTTTCTTTCCTACTCTCTTGGCAACTGCTAGGACCTCTTGCCCTATGTGCTAGCTATAGCAGTGATCTCATTTTTGCTTTTTTTATCCATACCATAATGTTGTTTTAAACTTGCCATCTGAAAAAGAGCACACAACTCCAGAGAACTATGTCATATTATAGACATACAATTATTATTTCATACATAGTTCTCTACAGTTGTATGCTTCTGTATCCTCCTGACCCACAACATTGTTTTGCTTTTCATCAGTATTTTATGTTTAATCACAGTGTGTCCCCATTCTCCCTTTATTTATTTAATTAAAGTTCTTTAGAGAAAAAATGTGATTGTCCAGAAACTGCATAATTGTTTTCATATGTCAGAAACAGAAACTAATAGATTAAGCACTTGTGAAGACATAATGGCAATAATTCACAGAGATGGTTCAGCACAAACAGACTAAACTACTTAGACTTGGCACACATGTCATACCTACAACCCCCATGCGAGCTGTGTGGAATGGGGGGCAGAGAGGGGTATTAATATAAAGGTGTGGAGGGATATGGAGGGGAACTTTAATATTACTGCATCTCAATTTGCCACATGTGCATGTTAGAATACATGTTCTTTTAAGGAAAGGCATGTGATGTTGTGCAGCTGATAAGAAGGTGTGAGGCACTTGGGTGATGTGGACAGAACAGCACTCAAAATCACACTTCAGTCTAACAAGAGAATAAACAACAGGAAGCATATAAACACATCTAACCAACCAACTTATCCATTTTACCTTAGAGCTGAACTGTGCCTCACCTGGGCCTCCTGACTATCACCCATCTTAGAGGTAACTTCATATGTAGTCATCTGGCTGGTACTGTGGTGAACAGAGAACCAGCTCTTGCTCTCTGCTGAGTCTGTTCTGTCAGTATAGATTTTGTATTTCAGGGCTATAATATAAAGTGCCTGAACTGCCAGCTTTGCTTCATGAAGATGTCTGGAGAGATTTGGTTGGTCAGATGACTTGATATGAGAAGGTCTTTTGAGAAATCATTTGGAAATCTTCATGGTTGTTTGTTTTAAAAGACAAACATGTTTTGTCTGTCGACATTTTTAGCCTTGGGACTTGGAAGTGCCTGGGAATGGCTTTTCTGAGTAGCTAAAAATACAACTTTATATCTTCACACAGATACTTGAGTTTTTATTACCCCTGCTTTAACATAACCACACATTCTGAATATGGCAAAATTTCCCTTGTTTAACACAAATTTTTTGAAGTATTAATAATCTGATAAACAGGCCTTTTAAGTGTCACATGGATTAGCCACAGTTTAAATCCATTAAGAGCCCCCTCATAGAGCACACAGAGACCATTGATTCTGTTACAAGAATCAAGATAAAACAACTTTAAAATTGACACAGACTACATTTCAGTGGACAGAAATAAGATCAGCTCATACATCTTTTGATCCTTAACTCTCTAATTAACACTCTGTCACATGATCGTCTGTGGACTGTGGAGGACTGTTGTGGTCCTTGATGGACCGTGTTATCAATAAGTTTCAAAGTCGGTTTCTCAGTACCTGGAGGCTGAATGGTGAGGTCTATTGCCCAGATGAGGCTACATCACAAGAGAGCATCTCTTACATTCCTGACACCTGTACACACAGCTGTAGAACTTATGATGATGTGATGCTGTTTTGTTTTTTTAAAGGAGAGCAGAATCAGAGCGGAATGCCGGGTGCGACCTGGACTATTGTGCCTTATACAATATGTGACTTCCTTTAAGTGGCAGACAGCCTAAACAGCAGCAGAGACATGCTGGAGGCACAGGCACCCAGCCGCTTCCTCTGGACTGCCCTGGGGGTAGAAGAGGAGGGTGAAGTCCCCACAGTAACACCCACTGTGCACTGTTCGGGACAGAGAGCTCATACACCCACAGTCGCTTTGGTTTTTGACTCTTCTGCATGGGACTGAGGAGCTCTGTCAGGACTGCTTAGAATCAGTTGTGATCTGAGGGCAAACATAATTGTTAAATTTAGAATTCACTCTCTCTATGGTCTGAAGTGACTTTGACCTGATTTGGGCCTGCAGTTTCTTCAGCTCGGCCTTGGACACCTTTAGGTGTACATTTATACCTTCTCAGTCCTGTAGCTCCAGAGTACCTTCAAACAGCGTGACTGCATCTACAGAGGGTAAGGAGTACGCAGGTAAACTTTTCTTCCTCTTATCAGCATGGCGTCATATCTTACTGAATTTTTGTGAAATTGTGACAGCAAACTCAAAACATCAGCTTGTGTGAAGGAGCATTTTGAGATTATCTTGTTGAAAGCTGTGGTGTTGTGACCTTTTCCCAGGCTTAGGGTACAGGGTATATAGGGTATATTGTGGGGTTAAAATATATGAGTCAGTGAGTGACCTGGTCCTTCGCTCTGGGAGTTAAGGCCCCTCCCACAATGTCTCTGGAGTGTAGCTCTGTTCCTTCTCTGGACACAGGAGAGGTGCAGTGTGGGAACCAACTCTACTCCAGCAGAAAGAGAGAGACCAGGTCAACTCCCTTTCAACTCCCTTCTCTGCTGCCTCTATCCACAAAGGGGAAGAGGGTATTGACTCATGATATATTTATGTTCACTGCTAAATTAGTTGTAACATGAACAAATACATCTCATCCAAATGAACTGTAATAATATTTGTCAGAAACATCATCTTTTATTGTATTGTGTATTCTGCATTATTCCTCCCTAAATGTTGCTGTAACAGAACTGTCCTTTTAAACACATTTGCTCTCATGTGTGAGTCAAGTGAGGGGAGAGAAAGGTAAAGCCTAAGTCAGGGTCAGTATGCCACTTGAACTCTTGTATACATATGCATAATGTAGTGCAGATAAAATCAATGTTTTGTTAATTGTCTAGAAGATTATAACATCTGTCTTCTGCAGGACCTGGTGAGGCCTGTTGTGGTTGTCGTCCTATTAAACCCTGCTGAGGTCTTGGAAATACTACTTCTGGTTTGATCCTTGCAATCCATTTGAAATCCATTTGAAATCCATTTGAAGTCCATTTGAAATCCACTTGAAGTCCTGGTTTGCTTCTGGTGAAGTCCTGCTGAAGTCCTACCTTGATCTGGGTTTGGTCCTGAAGCCTTGCTGAGGCTAAGCTCTGAATTTCTGATGGCGGACTGGAGCCTGTTGGGAAATTTCTTAGAGGAAGTGCAGGAACATTCCACCTCTGTGGGGAAGGTACAGTTTTAGACATATATTCTTTAAATATCTAAGTAATTTCTCAACAGCACATGAAGTTTGAAGAGGTTCAATTCCCAAACTTTTTACATGGAGGAAGGAGCGTTAGAGTTAATGAAGTGCAAAACAAACTATTAGGGTTTCATTTATAACACCAGTGGAAAAATCATGTTACTATTTCATGTAAATGCTTTAATTTACAACTTCATCCATCATATGACTCTATGATACATGTTAATAAGCAAGGAAATTTATACACAACCACAATTCACAATGAATATACTATAGATATGTAATAATACATACATAATATTGATTCTTGTGAGCTGTAAGCCATATTATATTGCTGTTATCATAAATGATAAGCGATCACATAAATGATCACATTTTTATATAGCACTTTTCCAACTTCAAGGAACTCGCAGTGCTCTAGTGCAGGATTTGTGTATTAAACATGTGAATGGAATGAAACAAAACACAACTCCAGTGTGAGGAAACAACATTGTAATATAGATAAGAAAATATCTTAACATAGATCCTTTAATAGTTTTCCTCTGATAAGGAAACTACTATCATAAACTGCCGCTCTGACTCAGTATGTATAAGAAAGTCTGGGGTTGGCTATCACATTTTTTACTCAAGAGTAACTGTTAAAGACAATATAATCTATTGTGACATCTTGTTCCATGTCAGGGTGGGTTGTCCCACTAGGTCATTTGGTTTCCCTTTTGTTATTAATACAGTTTTCTGTCAAAACATGTTTTTGGTGATTTTGAATAAAAGTTTCAACAATGAATTTGGACCCAATTGATTAAATCCAAATTATTATAATGAAGGAATCCTCACATTTACTGTTTTAATAATGTATAGTCAGGGTCTATATAAGCACATACATACATACATACATACATACATACATACATACATACATACATACATACATACATACAATGTGTTTGGTGTGACTGGAAAAATATTAGGGCAGATGAAAAAGGATCTGTCAAGCCACAGTGCCCTCTGGTGTGGCAATTAAAAGCTAGATGACAACTTGGGCTACTCTGAGAGAAATAACCCGGGTCTGCCAGACTGCTCTGCGCTCTGCTTTAGAAAAATATGTTATGGAAAAATAACAATAACAATTTAGGCTCACGGTGCTCACAGTGTACACATTTAATGCAGTGTCTCATTCATAATGCACTGGAGACTTCAATCAATGCTTCATGTGTTCTCCTGAGATAAGCATTGTAAGTCAGACATAATGTCAGTTAGTACTGGAGTTTTAAAGCTGAGTTTTAAAGCATGCATGTAGCCTTTTAAGAAAATCCACATGACTAAGTAGCTAACAGAGAAAAAAGAAGAAAAAGAAGAAGAAAAAACTGTAACAAAAACTGAACTGTCCATTTAAGATGTATATGCAACTTTTACGTGCCTGTAGCTTTCATGGAGATGTTATTGCTACAGTAGTCCACATTGAAGAGGCAACCCCATTACCAATAATATTACATTTTTTATGTATTTATTTATTTATTTAATAAAATACCTTTAACTGAATAAATGCAAAATAGTCTGTGGAACACTGTAGGCAAAGTAACCATATCTACATGAGGACAAGTTCCTGGACTCTCCACTCGAAAATCTCGTGGTGCATCTTTAATATACTATTAGAGCAGCTGTAAAAACTTTTTTCACTGCTATCTGCCATGGTGAAAGGTCATACAATTCCCATATTACATAAAGGCAACCTTTATAGCTCAATTATTCAGGAATGATAGTTTGAATTAGACTGTATTACTTTTAAACTGCAATTCAATCAATCAAATGATAAGTACTGTTCTGGAATTCCTCCTATGAATTTTATTGTAATAATTAATATTATTTAATTTTTATTTTTTTGCACCATGTCAGGTGTGGCTGACCATCCTGTTTATCTTTCGGATCCTTGTACTGGGCACTGCAGCAGAGTCATCCTGGGGTGATGAGCAGGAGGATTTTAACTGTGACACTGAACAGCCAGGCTGTGAGAATGTCTGTTATGACAGGGCCTTCCCAATCGCACACATCAGATACTGGGTAACCCACCTCCCTCCCAAACACACACACACGCACACGCACTGACCCCATGTGTTCATTTAATGACTGACAGTCTAGAAAATGTGTCTCTTTTGCTTTTCAGGTTTTGCAGATTGTTTTTGTGTCCACACCCAGCCTCATCTACATGGGCCATGCCATGCACACCGTCCGAAGAGAAGAAAAGAGGAGGAGTCGGCAGGAGGAGCTGGAAGATCGACGGTCTGAAGATGACCCTGGGGGAGGGCATGACAGAGGGAGGGTGGACATCCAGGAGGCAAGGACAGAAAAGGACGGCTCTAAGGACAAGAGAGAGGGCCGTATCCGTCTGCGTGGGGCTCTGCTGCAGACCTATGTCCTGAGCATCCTCATTCGCAGCATCATGGAGGTAGTTTCCTCAGTTTAGATTTTTTTTTTTTTCAGAATGTATAACTTCCGTGAGATTTACATTTTTTCCCACAGGTAGTGTTTTTGTGTCTTCAATACTTCCTTTATGGTATCTTTCTGAACCCACTGTATGTGTGTAAGGTAAAACCAAAGTAAATAAAGACACACCTGATGAGCCACATCTCTCTGAGCACTGCTCTCTCCTTTTCAGGCCTGGCCTTGTCCTCATCCGGTCAACTGCTATGTCTCCAGACCCACAGAGAAGAACGTCTTTATTGTGTTCATGCTGGCTGTGTCAGCAGTGTCCTTAGTCCTCAGTGTACTTGAGCTGCAACACCTGGCCTGGAAACACTGCTGCAGGTACACTTCACACATCTTCAGGTTCATACATTCACACTTTGATCAAGGAGCGAAACACGTGAGCAGTCATCTAATTGATCACCCAATGGATTTAGAAAAGCATATAAGTGACAACTGACCAAATATTCTTTACCATGAATAAAACAGAATAAATAATGTTCCATTATTTATTACAGGCATTTCACCAGTTTTATTATCAATTTATGTTCATTCTGCACATTCTAACCTTTGGCATTAAGCTTTATAGCCCCATCTGAGACTGTGAGGCAGAATGTATAACTATAAATATTACATTTCACTACACTACATTGTCACTGAATTCCCAAACAGAAGACAAGGAAAATTTTGCGTAACATTTATTTTGCCTATTATTATAGAATAGAAATAGTTACTTTTTGTGTGATATCTATGTATTTACGTTTTTGGTTTTTTTATTATTTAGTTATTTTTTTATTTATGTTCTATGTATTACTGTCCGAATAAATAAATAAATAAATAAATAAAGACATGCTGTGTAGTTTTATGTAAAACTGTCCTCTGTGATTTCAGGCAACTGTTTTGTGCTGGGAATAACGCTAAACCTGAAGAACCATCTTTGGCCAGACAAGTCTCTCTGTCACCACCACCACCTTCAACCCCACCCCCTGACTTCAGCCAGTGTGTTATAGGGTCCACACACTTTTTACCCATGCCCTTCCCTCAGCACCGCTTGGCAAACCAGCAGAACTCTGAGAACATGGCTACAGAGAAGAGTAACATGGCTGCTGCAGTGGAAGAGGACTTCCTGCAGCTCTCCTGCTACAGTCCTGGATGGCACGAGACCGTAACTAACCCCACTGAAGACCAGAGGACTGAGGCTAACTACAAGCCCCCAGAAAGGAGCAATCATGAAAGGCCGCTGCTGTGCCCGAACACAGCTATGTGCCAGAAAGACAAGAGACGCTTCAGCAAAACCAGTGGAACAAGCAGCCGGAGCAGGGCCGATGACCTCTCTGTTTAAACTCTATGGCCTGTGATTCAGAGGACAATTCCTGACTCCTGACTTTACCACGTTAGACCTGTGGTTTATGTATTTATGAACACACCAGAATATGATATTTAGCCTTGTAGCTTCATTATACATTCTATAATAAAGCTGTGTGTCACTGTAGCTTAACCCTCCCTCACATCTGCTCCAGATCCATCTTCTGTTGCCTTCTGGATAATTTTGAGAACAAACCAGTTTATTCAAACTATTTTATTATACAGTTGCTATTGTGAAGTTGATATCAGTTGGATCAGATGTCTTGGGATTATAAAAGGATACACCCCAAATTTCCATTATGTCAGTAACAGTAACAGAACACCTAGGTTACACTACAAACAGAATTCACTAGCATGGACCACACCACAACAATGGAATATGATAAAGATGTTTGTTGATGGCAGATAGATGTGATGGCTAGGGGGAGACAGGGTCTCCAGTCCAAAATGGTCACCAAGCTGAATCGGAATCCTCTCCTTGAAGATGACATCTTCGGACTGAAGGATGGGCGAAAGACAAGGGTGGGCGTGAGGGGGTTGAGAGAGCTGCCGTGGACGGTGCTGTTGGTATAGGCAGTATAAATAGGGCTTCTGAGTAATAGAAGGCATTGCTGAGATAAGCTGTGGTTGGCTGTAGAGGAGGCTGAGGTGTGGTCCAGCTCCTGAATCTCAGTTAATCATATTAACGCCATTTCATTAGTTGGTGTGTGCTGCAGGCCTGTCTTCAGTGAACTATGTTCATTATGCTATTCTTTATCAGTCTTGATAGGTGATTTTCTACTGTTAACATGCTCCAAAACTGACTTACACAGCAGTAAAAAAAAGCTAGCACTGAATCTCAGCAAAAAGGTATAGGGTTCAATTCCTGGGTCATCCAGGCCTCCTTGTATCTGGCTTTTCCATCTGAGGTCATCCTGAGCACAGCAGCATTTAAAGATGGCTCAAATACAGGGACAAATTTCTCTACATGAGTAACACTTAAGTGTACCCTAACTTTCCTATACAAGTTAAATCAAAGGCTTTTTGAGAAGATGGGCTTTTCAAACATAAGATTTTTAACTCTAATGCACTCACTGATCACCTTAATGAAAAAAAAGAATAAATAAAACAATTAAATATAAAAATAAGTGATACTTTAAAATATTTTAATCAATGGATAAATTCAACTGACCATCTCTCATGTGCAATAATCGAATTACATTACAGATACAGGTGAACTATGAGGGGCACAACCAGACACACACTCATTAAAATAATTTTAATAATAGTAAAACAGGTCACATGTGATGGTCAGAACCAGGTTGCACAAATATTCTGAACTGTATGGCGAGGTTACAAACCACAAAAAGGCGCATGATGCGCAGTGTTGGAGCAAGATTGTTCCCATCAAATGATGACAAAATTTATAGATTCACCAAAAAGATTAGTGCAGGATCATTTAGACAACCGCTCGGACTAAACATGGATTCAGCACAACCACCAAATCCCAAACTGACCATTTAAAATAAGTGAACAAAAACATCAAATTAAATATTTTATACTGTTCTACATATGTTATGAAGTTGCAGACTTCAGGTATGCAACGACATCCTGTCGCTCGCCCTTCTTCTTGATGCCAGCAAAAATCATTTTGGTTCCAGGAATGTATTTCTTGGGGTTTTCCAAGTATTCCATCAGGGTGTCCTCACTCCAGATGATACCTGGATGCATGAAATACATACAATATGAGATAAAATCCAAACATGCACCACAGTGACTGTTAGTATCCATGTCATAAGCTTTTAGGTCTATGCAGTTTAAACATGTCCATTGTAACTGCTTTAAAATTTCTATGAAATTATAATAATAATATATAATAATAATATAATTTAAGTTTATAGTAGCTTTGACTCAGTGCAAGAAAATCCTATTTATTTACGTAATATTCATAGTAATAATAATATAAGTCAGTTCTTGATCATTTTGAGACTAGAATTGTGAAGGTGTATGAGTTGACACTAAAGTAATTATGGACCAGTCAAACCAAATAAGATATCTTATAGAGACCATGGCTGCTAATTAGCAGGAAAATAACCTCCAAACCATTCTGAATTATGGCACCTTCAAACTTTAAATTTCTCAGAGGAAGGGAAGAAATGATAGTTCAGGAAACAAACCTTTGCTCTTGTTGGCGTCTGTGTAGGAGTATCCCTCTGCCATGCCAGTCTTGCGGCCAAATAGCCCCCACAGGTTTGGCCCAACTTTGTGCTTGCCCCCTTCCTCTACAGTGTGACACTGGGCACACTTTTGTACAAAGGCCTTCTTTCCTTTGGCAATATCACCCATAATTTACTGTCGAGAAAAAGAAGCCAGTGATCAAGACTCTGCCCTACTACAAAGTACATTTACAACCTGCATTAAGCAGTAGTATCAGAGTATCTGATCTATTCTTGGAGAGCGCTCATAACTTCTAGGGTGACCAGCGCCATCTTTGAAGGTCATTTAAGGTAACTGACCCAGACAGGCCGCTATTCCGCAAATGCCCTCGATTAAATCACCCATGACAAGTAATGCTAACACCAAACACAATTGTTACCTGTAGCTGTTCTGGCTGTTGGCATTTGCCGTGTGCGCTACAGGGGGTGGCCCACATGGAGCCATAATACGCTTAAAGTTTTTTTTAAGCCTTGTGTGGCTTTCGCATCAACAACAACAACAAAAAAATGTATGTTTAAACGACAGAAGATATATTTTAGATATGTAGGTATGAAACCATAAAAGGAAGGGAACGGCTGAGATAGGTAACCTCAGTGTCCTTATATGACCCTCAATACATAATGTTAGCTTAAGGGAAACGAAAAGGATACCGAAAGGGCTGACAAGATAAAAGTAATACACGTAGTCGGTGGTCTAACATGTGGTGCTTGTACATCGATCTGATCAACAAGTTATTACAAGTAAAGTTACAAGAGATGCAACCAAAACGCCACCCTGTTCCCACTCCAACATGGCGGACAGATGCGTTAGCCGGCTGTTTCCGCATCTTTTAGATTCAAGGACACTTACACATTCAGTAGTTAGCACATTTTAACAATTTGGAGGACAGTTTCTGTAAGTAAACAGTAAAACACCTAAAACGTTTTAATTGTAGAGACTGCCAAACCACAAAACACTAGTTCACATGAGGTCACACAGGATGCAAGCGGGGGGGTTGGCCGCGCGTTTGGTAATCCACACTGACAAGGATGCTTGAATGACGGAAGGTCGTTTCTCCTTGTGCCGCTACGCCGTGTCACCTGCTAAGTCTGGATCAGCTCGATTAATCATAGCGGGGTTCAGTGACAGAACTGCCCACACAGTCGTCCCGATCCTCATATGCCTACTACCCCCGTTCATACCGAGCTAAGCTTCACGTTACTAAACAACGAGCGCCCTCACTTCATAACTTCTCTTTACAGTCTTCCTTCAATGGCCGGCCCAGGCTGAAGAGCAGAGCTGCGCTCACCTGTCCGTGTTAGTAGGTCACCGGTACCGAGTGCCTGTGGAGTGGTCCGTGTAGATGCTCAGACGCCGGTAGACAGTTCTGATGTGGCGGCGGACGCAGAGGTCACTCCTGTTTAGCGGCACCGGCTGTTGACGTCACCCTGTCACGTGTGCATGTGTTTCCCTCGTAGCTTTATATCGTTCAGTCAAGTGGTCAAACGACGTTATTGCCCTGTGATAATGCCTCTACCTCTGAGCTCTAATGTCCCTGGCATCAGCTGCCCTGCTGTGTCGTGTGTGTGGCTCTCACGTAGGTCTACAGCCGAGAAATGTTCCTATAAACCTATAAAGATGTCTGTCTGCACAAATATGCAGCACAGTTTGTAGTTAAAACATTATAGTATCCAAATAATTCATTAGTATTAGATTAAATAGAAAGTTCTAGGCCTAGTTGATGAACAGAGGAACAGAGCAGGGATATTGGAACAGGGTTCGTGAGCCTATTAAGATTGTTTGGAGGGCCTCATCTAGCCCCCAGGGTGCAAGTCGCATAGGGCTGAGCTAAACTAAGACAATATCATCATAGTTTTTACATTTTTATGAATTGTTTTGTGTTACATCATAAAATCGAAGCAAGTTCTTAGTTTGTGTATTTTGTTTGCTGACAATTGCAATAACACATTCTGATTCTGATACCAATCCAAAGTCCAATGCGGAGATTTAAATGAGTTTTTACATGTATTTGTAGTAGGCTACTGAAGAAGTGATGTGAATGAGTAAAGCATGTGTCTCATATTCTTTCTTATATTGACCATCCTGCGAGGCTGCATTGTCCACATAATCACAACAGCTGTTTGTATTGTTCCTTTGGTAAAAATGATAGAGTCAAACATCATAGATGGGGTCTAATTTCAACTTAAATATGGTATGTTTTAAAATTGTTTAGTCCTTACACTTTGATGTATAGTTTTCCATTATTTCACTTGCTTCTATTTAATGTCTTAATAAAATCTTTGAAATTGTAAACATTGTGTTTATGTCTTAACAAAGTCAATAATTTATTTGATGTTTGGCAGGTCAGGATTGGAGACAAACAAGAAGGGCCTTGGTGAGAGCTCATCAAGCGCTTATGAGACCTTCTTTTGATTATGGATGTTTTGCATATACAGTATATCTGCTGCTGACATTTAAAAAGCTCAAGCATTGAGAATATGCTGCGGAGCATTCAACTCATTGCTTTTAACACCTCTACAGGTTGAGACAGAGGAGCTCCCTCATGTCAAAACAGTTAAACTCATGCTTCCATATTGGATTCATTTTCAAGGACATAATGTTTCTCACCCAACAAAGGCAGTACTTCAAGATTGCTGGTAGCAACGAGAGTTAGATTTTTTCAGTTTCTGATAGATCTGTGAAATAAAAGCACATCATTTTGGCTTTACTGATGTTAAATGTCCATGGTTTATTGCTTCAGCTCTCGATCTATTTTTCCCTCAAAGAAAAGAAAAGATCCACCCCAGAATGGTTTATAGTGCTAGTATTTTAAATGGCATGTGGAAGGACTAGTGCTGCTGTAAACATTCCACAATATGGCATTAGCATCAAAAGAGTGCCAGACCATCTTACGTTGTACACTGTTGAAATAATTGCCTTTGCACTTTCCCTTAATTGGTTTCTGGTTAAATATACATAAAGCTATTGTTGCATCAGATAACCAAGCTGTCCTGTTAAGTATAAAAACTGTAGGATGGATTTTCTTCTTCAAAACCAAATGGGAATGAAATGGGTTCCTGTTTCATTCATAGAGAAGAATTCATTATCTCACGATTGAGGGTTGGCCATACAGGTTTGAACTACTCCCTCTGAAGATTGGCAAACACTGTTATGGAGCTTGTGACTACTGCACTGAAACAGTAGAGCATGTCAAGTCAAGTCAAATTTATTTGTACATTTAAAAATAACCACAGCTGACCAATGTGCTGACAAAAGCTCAATACAAAATATATAAAATAAACAATATACAGCAAGAAAAACAAGATTAAGATAAGATAAGATAAGTTTTAAAAAATAATAACTGAAATTGGAAGGTGTTGCCTCTTAGTTCGTCAGACTCGGGGGCATAACATGTTTTCATTAGTTGACATGTAGTGCAGCCTTTCGAGATGATTTGTACCCAGGAACCAGACTTTGCTGCTACTCCTCTGGTTGGTAAATGTTTGTGCTTAGGAAGGCTATTCCAAAGTTTGGGAGCTACAAAGTAGAAGGCACTGTCTCCTATGGGCTGTAGGAGCTCTAAAAGTACGGTGCGGCTAGGCCATGTAGACTTTTAAAAACAAAGTTGGTTTTTTTTATGCATTCTAAAATTGACATTTAACCAGTGGAGGGCTAATACGTTCTCACTTTCTGGTACCTGTCATGAGACAGGCTGCTGCGCTTTGCACCTCCTGGAAGCAGCAGGGAGAAGTCTGGTCCAGGCCAGACCACAGTGAGTTACAATAGTCCAGCTTGGATGTAATAAAAGTATGATTTTTTCAAAGTCTCTTACAGCTGTAATTTGTTAAGGGGTGGATCAATAATAATAATAAATAATAAAAAGCCAAGATTTTTTTAGATGGGACAAATAAAATAATTTAGGGGGAGGATGGGGCAATTGCACTAGTTACACAATCTAAAGTGCTTTGGTCACTAAAGACAACTATCTCTGTTTTGTTTTTATTTAGGTTTAAGAAAGAGACCTATATGGGAGGCCTCATTTGGCTTAAGTAGGAGATAAGTCTAAAGGTCAACCGCAAAACAAAGAAAATGTTGTCCCTGTGGAACTTAGGTATATAGGTACAGGGAAGATAAGATGGGGGTGAGGATGGACCCTGCAGAAGCCATATTTCAAGGAGCATCGGATACAAAAGAACAAAAACAAAAGAGCTGTGCCACTGATGTCTACACAAGACACAAAGGGCTACAGTTAAAAACAAATCATTAAAAACTTAAAAGTGCCATCGCCATCTGTGTGCTGTGGAGTGAGTTAAAACTGACTGAAATTTCTCTGTAATTTTATTTAGTTTAAGGTGCAATCGCTTTTTCTAGGGTTTTTGATAGGACAGGTACTTTAGTAATGGGCCTAAAATTCGACATTCGTGTTTGAGAGCAGCTGGAACATCCAAACATGAACAATTTATAAAGTCAACCACACACACCCATGTCCTCAAGTACTGTGCCCATGACGACGAGGGAAGACCACTATGCTCAGCAGTTGCAAAAGAAAAGCTTCCTTTTATTAAATTATATGCTGAAAAATTCTTCAGAAACCATATGGAAACACCTCTTTGTATTCATGAAAAAGACGAAATTAACTGGGCCTATGCACACACAAACGGGTATACACACACACCAGTCCAGTAGGTGGCGGTAATGCTCGGTTTGACGTTTGCCTACAGCCAACTAAACGTAAAAGAAGAGGAAGAAGAAGAAGAAGACGACGACGAAGACGAAAACGAAGCGTGTTCGTAGCTTAGTGGTGCAGCTGCATTGTTGGCAAAAGGAACGCATTAACGCAACATGGAGGATTGCACATCAAACAGAGGACCGGAGAATCTCGATGATCCCCCAAACAGTCGGCTTTTCATTGTGAGCAGCCGCACTGTGACTGAAGAACAGATACGCGACAGTTTCAGCGCTTACGGAGACATTCAGGGAATATGGGTGGTCAAAGACAAGAACACAAAGGAGTCCAGGGGTGTCGCCTATGTGAAGTACGCAAAGTCTTCGCAGGCCTGCCTAGCCATGGAGACGATGAATGGACGGCTTCTGGGGGAAGGATCCAAACCCATCAAGGTAAGAATCTGAGCCTTCATGGACCAGGCCGCAGTAACAGCGTTTCTTTTGTTCAGTTGTAGTTAGCGCTAATGGGCGCCGAAATATACTGCTTAGGTAATTAAAAGAAAACCGAACGGAGGAATGCCCCTTTTCTTAAATATGCACAGCAATACCTTTTGGACCATTTTAGTTTCATTTTACACTATGACCTTTTTTAAAAAATAAACTGTCCTTATATTTTTTATTGAAAGCATACGGTTCAGACACGTGACCTACATGCAAACCAACGGCCATATTGGATCTGGTCGAATCTCCGCTGAGCTGCAGAGGCCTGCGCTAGCGCTATGGCTAGCACATAGCATTAGGTGCTGGGATTTAGATAGTGAGGATTCATATCAGAGAGACTCCTTTTTACATTTAAACTAATTGGATTTCTGCACTGAAGCTAGTAACCCAACTGAGACACTCATGTGAGGCATTCTGCGCTCTTTGATAATAGTCTAGGCACAGTACCAACACCAAAATTAAAATGGCCATCATGTCCAGAGTTTATGTGTTTAAGAGCAGGTGTTTTTATTAAGAGGCATCACATGAGAAGATACAGCACTATTGCATACCACAATTAATTACCGGTGGTTATTTACAAACAGGTACAGCAAGCAATACGGCGGCAGGTCCTGTTTCACAATGGAAATTCAATTAGCTCAGGGTTAAAGAATTAAGTCAGAGTTAATTTTTCAGTTTTGTTAAACAGGTTTGGAACAGAGTTAGAAAACTCAGATAATAAAGCAACAGTTTAGCAGAAGACACAAGACTTTATCAATGGCTCCCAGAAAAGAGGATTCACCATGGCAAAAGTAAACCAGAGGAAACTTCCATTTTAGAGGGACAGGAAGTCATGTGACTGTGGATAAGTCAGATTTAATATAAACATATGGAGGAACATATTTAATCAATTTATCCTATTTTATTAAGATTCAAATAATATTACTAAAAATGTCTACATCATTTTGCGCCAACAGACAACAAGTGTTCTTATTAAGAGGCATCACGTGAGAAGGTCATGATGCTAGAACAGTACACAGTGAGTACAAAAAAAATGTAGAAATACACATGAATGGAAGAAAATATGAGGTGGACAAAATCCATGTCAAAATTAACAGTCGGTTTGTAATATTTGCTCATTTTTAAATGGATCGGGCCACAGCATACAGCACCATTACATGTCACAGGTAATAACAGGTGATATCTACAGGCAGAGCAAGGGAGACTATGAGGAAGAGACTGTAAAAGATCAGGGGCAGGCCCTGTTTCACAAAGGAAGTCCAGTTAACTCTGGGTTTAAGAGTTAAGTCAGGATTAATGTTCCCTCAGACAGAGAACTCAGTTTTCTGTTTCACTGTTTGGTGTGGTCGGGTTTAGTATAAAAGAAATGTGGAGCACATTGTTTAATCAGTTTATTCTATTTTATGAAGATTCATACGTACTACTACATAATTTTGCTACAGCCTACTTGGATAACAATATTAAACTATTTTAAAATGTTAAAATGGTAATTTTAATATTTATGTAAACACCCAACACATTTTGCAAAATGTGATGATCATGCTTCTGAGTCTTTTGAATAAAATAATTGTAAATGTGTACGAGTCAAATCATTAAACTCCTGCCAAGCCTAACAAAGTGCACGTGGTCCATCAGTGACTGGCCAGTCAGAGCTCTCCTTCAGGACCAGACTCTGGTTAAAATAGAATATTGCTCTTTGGACCAACTTTCTTGCATGACCACAACCACTTACTTTTTTTTAACTTTATTCAAACTCATTAATGTTTGAAAGATCTGCGGGAAGTGCTGTGCTTTAGGATACTTTGGGTTTCTGGTTCTGATGGCATCCTTGTGATTAGAAAGTCTGTCCTTGAATCTCCTTTTAGTCTTTCCCCCATAGAAGCAATCACACGGATAGGAAAATTTATAAATAACGTGAGTGGTGTTGGAGTTGGCAAAGTTGTGGCAATGGAAGGTCCTGGATTCAGACGGGTCTTTTAAAGAATTCATTTTGAGGACATTGACACAATGCTTACATGAACCACACAGAAAAGTACCAGTTGGTTTAAGGAAAAAGCCTTTCCATGTCTTCTCATGTGATGCATTTTAAAAAAGAACACATTGTTGTCTGTGTCTCCCCTTAAAGGACACACTTAAAGGACCCATTGATGCACACACCCTACTTGTTTTATTTAAAAGATCAAATGGCACTAAAGCAGAACATAACCACAAATGATAACTAACTTATTATGGACTGTGTGCCAGTGTTTTTACTATCACACTGAACAGCAGATTTTACAGTTAATGATACACAAACAAATGTTTTCATTTTTAACTGGATACATTTCACTTGTGCAGGTATTTATTGCCCAATCCCGAAATTCAAGCAAACACAGAGATGTGGAGGATGAGGATTTGACCCGAATCTTTGTCATGATCCCGAAGACCTTCACAGAGGAGGACCTAGTCCAAACCTTCAAGGTACCAGAGACAAGCACTCACTTGCTTATGTCTGCAAAAACTGTTGCCTCATTTATTGAACTCTCTCTTCTGCAGGAGTATGGAGATATTGAGTATGCTATAGTAATCAAGAACAAAACGACTGGGGAGAGTAAAGGTTTGGGCTACGTTCGATACTATAAGCCATCTCAGGCTGCCCTCGCCATAGAGAACTGCGACAGATGTAAGACCTGTTGCTTTTATCCAAATGGTTTTGAGCCTTTTACAGTATGTTACTATAAACTCTGTATATTGCAGCCTACAAGGCTGTGGTGGCTGAACCTCGCACTAAATCTGGAACTGGAGATGACTATGGTACTGCAACAGCTGCGTACATGAACACTGGAGATGCCATGAGCCAGTACAGCTTCCCCACAGGTTAGCTCGATTTCCATGTTTTATCATATTATAGAACTAGACCAGAATTCAATCAAACTGTGTTTTCAATACTTTATAGACTATTAGTTTATAGCTACCATAGACTTATAGTAGTATTACTGTAATTCTTTTATTATTTCGTTCTAAATCATTTATCCCCTATTGCTAAATCTTATTAGCATGTTATGTCCTACAGCCATAAAATAAAATAAAACCTAGTCTGTGTGTGATGGGTTTGTTGTTTGGGACATCAGCTGATGTTGTGTGTGTGCAGCGGACGCGTCCGGTTACCAGTACCTGGATTACCGATCTGGGGAGTATACCCGCAGCCTGATGGTGAGCACGAGAGCTGCACTGTCCCAGGAGCAGTACTTCGCTCTGTTTGACCTGATCCCAGGCCTGGAGTACTGTGAACTGCAGCGAGACTATGGTATGAAAAAACTTATCATACACTTCCCATCAGGTCGGGGACATTACGCACAAATGTTCCTGCTAAGAATCACCTTTGGGGATTTACAGCTAGTTATACTAGTTCAATGTCCAGTCCTCTTAAAAAATAAAAACATTAGGGCCATATATAGAGCTCCTGTGGGCAGTCTATTATAATCATTTTTAAATATTGACATTTAGTTTCTCTACAATTGTCACTTTTGTTTTATGTGTGAGCTTCATTGTAACTGTTCTCAGGTCAGGCACTGATCCGCTACAATAACCTGGGCTCGGCTGTCTATGCCAAAGAAAAGCTGAATGGATTTGAGTATCCTCCTGGAAACAGGCTGGTGGTGGCCTATTTGGAAGATGGAGAGGACCGCAGCAGGTAAGATGTTATTTTTTAAGGAACTCAACTGGAAATGTCAATCTGCTGTAATCTGCCTCAGGATTAAGCAGGGGCTTCATTAATTAATTTCGTGCCACTACACAAGGGAGGCCTTGTAATGGATAAAGTCAGGACTTAACATGGGGAGTAAGCATTTCAATTTTGTGCAGCTAAAACTTGAAAGAGTCTTCCTGAACATGTGAGACAGGCCTCTACTTTGACTTGTTTTAAATCCAGATTAAAAAACTGTTCTTTTTAGCTGTGTATTTTTGACTTAAAGGGTTTTACTCTGCACTACTCTCCTTGCAATTTTGAATTTTATAATGATTTATGTTTGTATTGTGATTTTAATGTCTTTCTTATTCTGTCAAGCACTTTGAATTACTTGTATGAATTGTGCTATACAGATAAACTTGCCCTGCTTTGCCTCGGCAGTTAAAGCCAAAGGATAAATATCTTTTGGTGTTGGTGCTGTAAATATGTTTTCAAAGAATGTGTTTTGTATGCATTGTATTAATATGACAATTTTATGCATGCACTGTGTTAGCGCTGCACATTTAATTTAAACTGAATCAAAATCTCAATTTGTATGGACACATTTAGCAAATTGCCAAGGCTGCATTTACCATAAGATATTTCCATAGATTGCCATAATTTCCTTCACAAACAACACAGTTTCCTGTCTTATTCTGCATAAGACAACTGCTAAAAACCCCAGCCTAGATAAGAGAGGGTCCTTTAAATGTTTCTCTGGGCCCATCTGAGTATATCAATGTACATATTTTCAGTGATGATCATTTTGTTTGGTCTGTGTTTCTGTAGCTCAGTGAATCGCATGGCCGTGCAGTACGTTTCGTCCCAGATGATGTCAGCTGTGTGGAGTGGAGCCTCCAGTGGTCACATGATGAAGGGCTCAGTGAGTGTTCGCAATAAGTCAGCACTCTTGATCACCGCTGATGAAACACAACGAAATATTGATTTCACATTGTCAAGTATCTCAATAATATCATGGCCGTTGTATATCAAATTACAATCCTCTTTCCTTAAAGCATTGTTTTATTGCAGCAAGTTAAAAAAGAGGGAACTGTTTAGTCGTGATTCTTATCTCTATTTAGACATGAACAAATCTTTAATGACAGAAATGGTAGAAAGGCAGATCTACAATTCTGTTGGCCTCTCCAAAATTTTGCAATATTATGATGCCAACCCGTGAGATTGGATATCATTACATCCTTACCTGTAACCGCATGCTCTCGCTGATGCGAAAGTCCAGGACTCTCTCCAGACTAGCAGTGGGCTTGGATTATTGGCAAAAGCAGCAGTGAAAGTGTGAGCGCCACAGGACCATATTTAATCTGCCTGTGACTCTGCAGGGTTACTCGGCTGTGGGCCCTGTGTCCACTCGCATTCAGACTGATGTCAACCTGCCTGCTCCACAAAAACTGGCTCCTCGAGACAGCCAGTCCAAGGAGCGCCTCTTTGTGGTTTTTACCCCGACCGTTCTGCCTCTGGATGTGCTGGAGGATGTCTTCTGGTAAGTGTTCCATTTTGAACGTATTGTCTTTTTATTATTTTTTGCCACACATTTCCCTTCACGTCAACTATTAAATGTCTGTGCAGCCGCTTTGGCTCTCTGATCGAAGTGCACCTGGTTCCTGGGAGAAAGGTTGGCTACATGAAGTATGCAGATAAGCAGGTAAGATATTGTTAATGTCACTTTTGTGTGTATACTGAATGTTTGTGTGTAAATGGAATGTTGTCTATTAGTGTGCAGACGATGCCATGGCAGCACTGCATGGGCGCTTTGTGAATGGAGTGAAAATGAAAGTTATGCTGGCAGACCCACCACGAGAGGAATCTCACAAGCGCCCCCGCACTTATTAGAGTGGTACTACAATGGTAAGTGCTCTAATTAGGCTACTAATTGTTCAGAGCATATGAATTTGTTTTCTTATGCATTCAGTAATGTATATTTCAGGGTTCCCACAAGTCCTAGAATAATGTAGAATATAATTTGATCCTACCCTTTTGAGATTAGCTGTTAAATGCAGGTGAATTAGCATTTTATACTCAAGAAAATATTTGAACAAATTTTGAGCCACACAAACCCTGTAAAGCTTGGAAATTGGTCTGTCTTTTATAAAAGGACAATTTACTTCCATTTATAGCAGTACTAATGTGAATATTCAAAAGACCTACAGTTCTCTTACAACTCAATCCATCAAAGGCCTCTGGACCTTATGTAGGCCAGAGTGGGGACCCTGAAGTGTTGTAATTGTCAAGGCAGACTGTAAACATTTGTGTTAACTGTGCAGCTTCTTGTTTCCTAGGCGACTGATCATGACACGTGACCTGACAAACCCGACCAACACCGGACATATCCTCGACCTCTGACCCGACATTTGACACCTGTCTGACCTTACTTGGGATCACTGACCTCACTGTGACCATCCAAATTTAGTGTTTTACCATATAATGCATCATATGATTCTCCAAGATTTTTTTTTAACTGTTGAATTACTGCATCCTGAGTTTTGTTTTAATGTGTCAAAATTAAAAGTGGAATTACTACATTTTGTGCAATGTCTTTATTTCTCAATTTGAAAAGCTTCAAGATGAAAAATCTGTTTTGTGAACCAGTGCTGTAATTAAATCTGCTTTATGCATGACATGCCTGTCTGGATGTATGCCACTCCCAAATGTGACCCTCTAAACATACCATTCCCTGTCTGTCTCTACTTTGTCTTCCAGAGTTTATACAATTAAGTCACACCTGAGTTAGTCCGATTTGATCCATCTTCATTCATACATTTCTACATTAAATTTACAACTCCAGTTAGCTATTATCTAACTAGTACGGCTGAGACATTAACTGAATTTAGATCTAAACATTGTGCTTTTTTTTTTTTTCCAAACTTTTTCTGATTGACAAGTTTGAAAATACTAGAGAAAACAGCCAAACATTTCAAATTTTAAAACTTTGCTTTAACATTTTTTATGAGTCCATCTTCATGAGTCTTATTCATTTTTTAGTAAATAAAAAAAAATGTCCACCCTTTGATTATTGCAGATAAACCATGTGAACAAAGGACAGACCTTTTTTCACTGTAAAATCTTACTAAAACGTCTTAATGCTGATGAAAGCAAGATTAAGGATTTAAGACTTTGGCCTTCTGTGTAAAAACTAACTTAGTGGGATGGGAGGAAATAAAATCATTAGATATCAATTAGCTTTAAAGGGCGTGTAGAGGAAGGCCAACAAAAGTACAAACTAGGGTTCTATAAATCCTTATTTTCAGTGTATTAAAGCACTGAATACTTGTGCACCCTCTGGTGGTCAGCAGGGATGAAATGGAACAATTCACAGCACCACTACAGGTGGCAGAACATATTTTAGTGAATTATGACATTTATTTTCCAACAGCAGTTTTCCGAGCTGGGCTGGCACTAGGATCATCATCACATGGGCTTGATTCTACAGTGCTCACACTGGTCTCACTTAGGCCCCGGAGCCAAAGAGTTTATCCCAGTAAAAGCATTTCTCTTTCTTCTCACTTTCACAACCGTAGAACTGTATGAACCCCTTCTTTTGGACTTCACATTAAACAGATGTATCTCAGACATTCGTGAGCTGTTGTGAGGGGCATGGCATTACAGAACAGAGGGGCAGGCAGCCACTCATCTTCCAGTAATGAGGCTTTATTTAGTCTGATAAAATTATAGTGTCTGATAGCTCCATGCAGCAGTCTGTTAGTCCCACTCTCAGTCCTCAAGGTCCAGGGTGTTTAGCTCCTCATCTAGCTCATCCAGGTCCTCTCCAGTGAACAGGTTCTCATCCACAGGTACCTCTTCCTCACCTCCGCCCTCCTCTCCTCCAGAAAGGCCGTTGGTCTCGCCACCACATGCTCCATTCAGCTGCTCATCTGTAAGAAGCAAAGTTCAATGTTCTGCACTTGCATTATGTGAAGTGTGTTTGTATGAAGCTCACCAGTTTCTGACGTTGGCGCGTTTTTGGAGGCAAAGCGGTCTACCGAGGCTACGGTAATGCCCGTGTTGTCAACCTCTTGTGGAACAAAACGGGACAGATCTATGTCCTGTACAGCAGCATCCACCTGTGACATGAGCACAAGAAATTGAGGCTGTTTTAGGTCTACTGCATTAATACAACGACGCCTTTAAAATATTAAATGACATTTCATACAAGCATCAGGAGCCAGGCACACTTAACAATCTTTACATCTATTGTTGGAAAAGCAGGTCACAAAGCGCACACAGTGGGACAGAACTACCTTGCCAGAGATGTATACTGGTTCTCCCTGCATATTCTATATAGAAAAGATACCTAAATCTGGTCACCACTTCCCCTGCTATGCTTCAGGCCAAAGCCAGGGCTGTGTTTCAGTGACATACATAGAAAACAAATGGTCTCATTAGTCATCATTTTGTAGATTCTTTCAATTTGGTCATTGATTCCACATAAATCTGCAATGTTCTTCAATCCCCTGAAATATCTCTGTCCTTTGTCGCTGTGAGCCGCCATATTTGATTTGATATGGATGGACCATGCGTGTGCTTGATTGGCTAATCCACCTGCCAATGACACCCATATGAACTCTGGGAGGTACAACCAGTGTCTGGACTCATATTTTTAAGGCAATGGAGAAATGTATATTCTTGGAGGGTCAGGTAAAAAACTGCCCAGGATTGGAGGGATTAAATTAGACAAATTGGCAATACATTAGAACAACAATACACTTCACGGTTGTGGAACTGCACAAAAACAATACCTCTGCTTCCTGCTCCTCCTCCTCCTCCTCTTCATCAGCATATTTCGTGTCATCTGCTTCAGCGTCGTCGTCATCCACCAGCTCTGGCCGGAATTCAAACACTTCGCGCCCGCTCACCTGTAGCACAGCACCTCAGTAACTGCTTCTGATGCACCTTGCAGCCAAGGGAATATGACACTTACCACCAGGGATTTTCCAGCTTTGAAATCGGCTTTCTTCTTTTCCATCTCCTCCCTGGCCCGGTCCACCTATGTAACACCACACACTTTTGAAACACTGGTTCAAGAGTATTTACAACAGTTAAATCTGAGGGACTCCAACCTTCTCCTGTCTTTTTCTCTTCTTCCAAGCCAGGAAAGTTTCCAGCGTAATTCGAGTGACATTTGGACCTAGAGCCGAGCGCTACACGGGAAAAAACAATTAAACAACAGAGTTAGGAAACAGTCTTTTGTTCTTTGACTTGAGCTGAAAAGAATTGAGATTGAAAAGTGCCTAAAGAAAGTATATACCACAACATTATTACCAACATTATTTTACGGTTCATATAATAGTGTTGGTTTAAATAAATGGGATCGGGTAGGTTTATGGATGTCTGCCTACCTCATTCTCGATGAGCTCCTCCAGTGAGATCTCCTCCTCTTTCTCTTCCTTTTTCTTGTCTTTCTTCAGCACAAAGCCAGGTGGAAGTGCATGACGGTACATACAGGTATCTCCTCCTTTTGGACACACCCAAAACCAGCCGTACTTATTACTCTCTATGGCCTCCAGGAAATATTTGCACACCTGGAAAAGATTGAACATAGTTCTTGCAACGATACAATTGTAAAATTGTTAAATTGCGCAGTTGACCTTTCAGTCGCAACAACCATTGCTATTATAATTCATCAGTAGTCGCTATTGCAAGTCAAGTTTTTGACATTGTCACCCTGCTAATAAAACAAAGAATACTGACACTGGAATAGTCACTCACAATTTGTGTTTTGGCCTTTTTCTTCTCAGCCTCGCCATGTTTCTTATTTACCACCTCCTCCAACTTCTTCTCATCCCAGTTTTCCATAGTGTCTGTGCCGTAAGAAAAATCTAATCGCACAAGTTCTTGAAGGCTTTTTCAAACAAAAAGAGTTTGTGAACCCTAACCTTTCTCCAGGTCCTCGTCCCTTTCATCAACATACATGTTCCTCTTTTCACACTTTCTCTCCATGGACAAGTCATGGCTGAACTTGCACTTGTCTCCCTTTGTGCACTGGCCCTGCTTGAAGAACGCACACAGAACTGACTTTGGATCCACACCTAAAAGTGACAGCAGGCAGACAAATTCTGTTTCAGTAATTCATTTACTATTTATACAGTGGTAGAAACTGAGTTATGTTCAGACCTTTGCTAACTTTCTGAGCAGCAACTACAGGTTTGAAGAGCTCATTTAGTTCATCCAACTCTTTCTTTTTGTCACCTTTTTTGCCCTTATCAGCTTCAGCCTGGGCCATCTGTCAAGAAATTTACAATTATAAAGGGAATAAAAAGAAAATCTTGAAGGATCTCAAGTAGCTCACTCACCTGTCGTGCACTCTGTTGGCCATACTTCACCTGCTGTGTAACATTCTTTATGAACTTTTGCTGTTTGGCTCCCTTTTTGTTTTTTAAGCCAAAAGTCTTGTCCTGAAAAGTTCCAATTCACTAATGAAAGATTTGCACTTTATTGTTATACCAGATTCATTTAGTGCCTTTGTGCACTGATGAGCTTGTGCGATTTTCACTATCCGCCAGGAACATTTCCTTTTAGGTATAAATGAATTTGTTTGTAAGAAAAAAAAAATCATCACCAATGTGCTGTGCATAGCTGTGCATAATTGAGATTCAATTTGAGCATGAGGTTTATTTTTCCAATAGGCTTCACTAAACATATTTTAGATCTGTGGTGAGACTAAATTAGAAAATCGAAATCATATTTACAATACAATGCAGCCCTATACTACACATACAGTCATTTATGATCATGTACAAAGTCCTAATGAGCTAATGTTAGATTTCCTGGCGAAGCAATTACGCGCGATATTGTTCTTGTATGGAAAAGGAAGGAAAATGAAGACTGTGATCCAAGGTTTTCAATACATCCTTATGAATGCATCAGGTCAGCACATGCCCGCAGAGTTACGAGGGACAAACTGACACAAACGTGGGGTTTAATTATAGAGGGACTGTGACAGATCTGATCTACTGAGTGTGTCTACAATCTAGTAAAGTCTAGTACACGTAAAAGCGACATGTTAGGAGCAGGCCGTGGGGGCTTCGGTCGCGTTATGCCGGTGGACACTGAGACAACCTCCACACATATCACAAACATAGGCAGTTATCATGCTCTGGTGGTGTTAAAAATGCTAAAGGAAATAAAGGAGGATAGAAAATCTGTAAGTTAAGTGACTTAGCAGTGTAGACTAGCCTTACATTAGCTTCCTGTGTTATCGGGCAGCTAATGCTAAGAAACGTTCTGGTACCTCGTGTCACTTTACCTCAATTATCTTTTCCTTTTTCTTTTCTTGAGTCTTTTTACTTCCCGTGGCTTGGACGGGTTTCTTCGGAGGCATACTGGCTCAGGGTTGACAGTGTACAGACAACCTACACTTGTATAAATATATCAAAATCAAGTGTCCGCGCTGGTAAATGCGCTCGCTGTCCAAGTTGCTAACACCGCAACGGCGGCGAAGCGTAGGCCACATGTGAGTTGTTGATGTGTTTGTGACGTCATTACGCTTGGCTGTAAAGGCTAATGGGTAATGTAGTCAATGGAAAGAGTGTAGTCAGTGAAAGAGCTTACATCTTGATATGGCCACTAATGTGACACATCTTAATGGCTTTGAAATTGACCATGACCATCATCATAAATTGATTATTATATTTTGAATGTTGTGGTAAAAGTATATGTTGTAGAATATTGTATATACAGCAGTGAAATATATTTCATGCTCATACTAAAACAAACAAATTCAATTATACTATGGTAAAGTATTTCCTATCAGTTCAATGTTTTTAATCTCTGTTTCAAAATATACTATGGATAATAAGAAGATGGACATAAGGGCATGATAAAGACCCTCTAAGTAAATACTGCACTTGTAGTATTAAGCACTGTGGCCTGAAATTATCCAAACTGAAATGTGTGTTTCTCTTTTATGGATGAATTACTTTCCTCTGGTGGGCTAAGTGTGGCAACCGAGGGGTTCAACACTCCGGGAAATGTTAAGTTTAATGGTGAGTTGCTGCAACAACGCAAATTAAATCTAAATGTAAGGCCCACAGGTAAGCATATCATTAAGAGAGCCAGGTTCCATCATTTGCACAAATCTTTATTTCTTTCTATTTTAAAAGACAGATTTAAGTGGTTTAAAAGTAGCTACATCAATAAAAAAAAAAAAAAATAAAAAAAATCAGCAAACAGTAAAACACTACAGTGAGAAAACGAGTACACAATATTGAAAATGCAAAACAAAGCCCCAAAACCCGAAGCAAAACTGAAGCAAAACAAAACAGAGCAAAACAAAATAAAACAAAAAGCAAAACAAAATAAAACAAAAAAAAAGCAAAACAGCAGAGGTGGTGTCCTCACGCCGCTGCAGGCCCCCGCTGACACCTAGAAAATTAAATTTTGGAATTAAAATCGGAGCCTGTAGTGCAAGGATCTGGGCTAAACATACCGTGGTTGAAGGTGACGGTGCGTAATCCCCAGGCTGAATCAAAGGCAACTACACAGGATAACGCCGTCCAGAAGTGGTCCAGACAACGTGGACCGGCACACGCTACAAACATACAATTTAGAGTGGTTTGGCACAGGTAGCACGTGATGATAAGGGTTTGGTTACCTGCCGCCGCGGTTTAAGGGACACGGCGGCGCACCGCCAAGCGCAATGGGGAGGGACTCGCTCGGCTCACCCGTGGAGCTACAGAGAGACACCGGTAAAAGTATGGGCACGGATGAATGAGTGGAGGAGTACCGGGCGTACATTACCTTATCAGGGGAGACGAAAGCGCGCCCTAGGTGCTGCGTGACTCGGAGACGCGAGGGACAGATGTGGTGAGAGTACCGGCCAAGCAGTGGCCAAGCAGCGGCCAAGCAGCGACACTAAAAGGAAACGTGATAGGAAATTTGATGTAACGGGCATGGAATTTACAAAGTGAAAGTTACCTGAGCTGGAGGACAGAGCGGCCACAAGGAGAGGCCCGGAAGAGCGTGTGAGCCAAAAGGGGGAACGACTGAGAAGGGAGCGCTTAAATAGCCCACCAGTGCAGCGCCACGGAACGCCAGGTAAGAGCACCTGCAGCCTAGACCCTCAAAGCCGGTCTTGCCACATTCTACCCCCCCGGTTTGCATCGTCGACCCGACGATGAAGAGACACATCTTAGCACCACGGTCTAAACACCACATAGGTGGCCCTAGATGACGATTCAGCCACATCAACTCCCCTAGATGGCTGTCCAGCTATGGACCTTGGAAGATGATGGGGATTTTGGTGGTGGCCAGCTGTTGACCGAGTAGACCTGCGCACGGTGACCTGATCAGGATAACAACGAGTTGCTGGCTCAGGTGCAGACGGCGCCTGGCCAGCCAAAGGAGCAAGAAAAGCCGCTGATGGTTCTGGAGCCCTAGAAACTTGCGATAAAGAGGCCTGAGAGGGTGGGGGCGGCACCACTACTGCAGGGAGCAAGGCTGCTGGGGGTGAGGCAGACACCTGCACAAATAAGTCATCCTCAAAGGACAGTTCGTCGTCCGGCACTGGAGCTGAAGGTGCAACAGGAGGACTCACGACCGGTAGGGGAGCCGGAGAGTCACTATTATGCAAGGGCTTCAGCAAGGACCGGTGTATTCTTTTCACTTTGGTCTGCTGATCCACTGGGGCTACAGTGTATACAACACCACCTTCTCTTGGGGCTTGAAGCACTACATGGGTGACTGGGCCCCACAGATCTTGGGTCTTTCGACGACCCTTGGCACTGTGGTCGCGAAGTAGCACCAGTTGGCCTTCCTTAAGTACCACCTCTCTTACGTTCTGGTCATGATTTGCCTTTCTGCGTGCAGCAGCTAAGCGTAGTCTCTCCCTGGCACCATCAAAGGCCACCTGAAGGCGTGCCTGGTGCTCCTGCACCCACTCATGCACAGTTCCCCCCACAGGTTCTGGCACCCGACTGAGTAGGAAGTCGATCGGCAGTCGCGGCTCCTGCCCAAACATCAAAAAGAAGGGCGACTCGCCTGTAGACTGATGAGGAGTGGTGTTGTAGGCGTACAGCACCTGAGGCAGGCAAGAACTCCAGTCTCTCTTACGGAATGTAGGCAGCGCACGCAACATGTTGTGCAGCGTGCGGTTGAAGCGTTCGCACTGCCCATTACCTGCTGGGTGGTATGGGGTAGTGCGAGACTTGATGATCCCGTACAAGCTGCACAACTGCTGAATGAGTTTACTTTCAAAATTCCGGCCCTGGTCGGAGTGGATGCGAGCCGGCACGCCAAACTTCGCAAACCACTCCGTGACCAGGACCTGCGCCACTGTAGAGGCGAGCTGGTTGCGGGTTGGGACGGCCAAGGTGTATTTGCTAAAAACATCGGTCATTATCAGCACATTCTCCAGACCATCAGGGGTTGGCTCCAGTAGTGTAAAGTCGACTGCAACAATCTCATTCGGCTGCAAGGCCAGTAAGTGGCTCATGAACGCATGCGCAACAGGTTGATTGTCCTTTGCATGCTGACATCTCTCGCAAGCCTGGCACCATTGGGCTACCTCACGGGACATACCAGGCCAATAGCACCTGGAACGCAACAGGGCTAAAGTCCTTTCTATACCTTGGTGTCCATGCTCCTGATGGACTTGGGTGAGGGCATCCTGAACAAGGGCTCTGGGCAGAAGAAGTTGATACACAGCCCCACCACCATCAGGACAAAACACCTGCCGATACAGCAGCCCCTCTAACTCAACCAAGCGGTCCCACTGGGCCAGCACTAAAAGGGCAGCGGAAGAAAGGGCTCGTCGCTCTATACGAGTGGGCTGTCGATTCTGTTGCCAGAAGGTCAGGATCTCCTGAAGGGTGGGGTCAGACTGCTGAAGCTCCCGGAGGTCAGCAGGGGTAACATAAGGGAGGACAGTCACCACAGACTGTGTTGCCCATGTAGCTACTCCTTGCAAAGCTTGCTGCAACTGCTCAGGCAAGCACGTGCCCAAGGCCCTGGATGCCGATACCTGTGAAGTGGTGCCAGGCTGACGAGACAAAGCGTCAGCGTTTTTGTTACACTTACCTGATCGGTACTTCAACTCAAAATCAAACGAAGCTAACTGGGCGGCCCAACGCTGCTCAACAGCTCCCAGTTTGGCAGACGCAAGATGGCTCAGGGGGTTGTTGTCAGTATAGACCATGCATCTATGGCCTAGGAGATACTCCCTGAACTTCTCAGTCATAGCCCACTTAAGGCCCAGCAACTCAAGCTTCCTAGAGCTGTAGTTGGACATATTACGCTCAGTCGGACTCAGCCCTCGACTGGCGTAGGCAATAGGCCGCACCTTCCCTTCCTGCTCCTGGGAGAGCACTGCCCCCAATCCAGCATGACTTGCATCAACCTCCAAAATGAATGGGAGGGAGAAGTCAGCGTAGGCAAGTACCGGAGCCATGGTGAGCTTGGCTTTTAGAGCCTCAAAGCTCTGCTGACATTCTGGGGTCCAGGGTCCAGCATCACTCCGGACGGGCCTTTTCCTGGACTTCTTACCAGTCAGTTCAGCAACTCTGCGATGTAGGGGAGCAGCCAGTTTGGCGAAACCCTCGACAAAACGTCGGTAGTAGCTGGCGAATCCAAGGAAGGAACGGAGTTCCGTAGCCGTGGATGGTGTAGGCCAGTTAACTACTACTTCAATTTTGCTGGGGTCCGTGGCAACTCCCTGATCGGAGATCACATGACCCAGGTAGTGCACCTCCCGCTGGAAGAAACGGCACTTGCTCAGTTTAGCCTTGAGCCCTTCTTTCTGCAACCTCCCCAGCACCACGCCCAGCCTCTCCAGATGTTGCTGTACCGTGGACGAAAATATAACAATATCATCCAGGTAAAGAAGGAGCGACTGGCATTGCTGGTCCCCAAAGACACGTTGCATCAACCGTTGGAAGGTGCTGGGGGCGTTGCAGAGCCCAAAAGGCATACGATTCCACTCAAACAAACCGAAGGGCGTACAGAAAGCTGTTTTGTGCCGGTCACTCTCTGCAACAGGGACTTGGTTATACCCGCTGGCCAGGTCCATAGTGGAAAACCAGCGGGCCCCTGTCAAAGCATCAAGTGACTCTTCGATTCGTGGTAGCGGAAAAGCATCCTTTCGGGTCTTCAGATTGAGTTGACGGTAGTCAACGCACAGACGAATGCTGCCATCCTTTTTCCGGACTAAGACAATAGGTGAAGCATATGGGCTGGAGCTCTCTCTAATAATTTGTGCTTTCAAGAGCTGATTGATATGCTCTTTCACCAACTCATATTCCGATGGAGGAATGCGGCGGTATCGCTGCCGGACCGGGACATCATCCAGTAGGGGGATGTCGTGAGTGATCAGGTTGGTACAACCCAAATCCTGATCATTTGCAGCAAACACAGAGGTGTACTTTCTAAGCAGTGACCGCACCTTCACCTGTTCTTCAGGGGACAGGAAGGACAGGTCAATTTCTGCAAACAGGTCCGCAGCTGGAGCAGCAGCAGTT